GAAACTCGCCTAAATTTGTCAAGGAACTGCCCATGGCAGTTTCTGCAAGTGATTTATTATATAAAATTAAAAAGACAATCGGTAATTGTTTTTAGGTAAATAGAAGTAGTTTTTGTATAAAAAACATCAATAATATTACTTATCTTTATTGTAATATTACTTTGTAGCATTGATTAAAGAACAAATTTTCTTCTTATCTTTTAAGCCCCAATTTTTATTTTTAATTAAATCTTTATATATAAAAACACGAACATTTATAAAAATCTTACCGCATATCGCATTTAATGTATATTCACTAATAAATGGTAATAAATTTTTTACAACAGTTCCTTCGGCATCCTTCAAAGATTTTGTCATGCATTCGCCCTCCTTGATCAAAATCTCAACAAACTGATTTAATATATTGAAATGAAATGCAGGTGTTAATATTTTTCGTCGCGAATGCCATTTAGCACCTATTCAAAACAAAAACAAGAAAATAACAACATGAAATTGTCTAATAAAAATGATAAAATATAACATTACTATCTCTCTCAATTTTAATGTTTAGCAGCGGACCAATCCTTCGATATTATTAATTCTCTTAAATTTATATCTTTCTTTTATAATGCAATTTTTTTTACAATTTTTAAACCGTCTTTTCATGAAATTTTTTCAGTGAAAGGTATTATTATAATTTAAATTATTTTATAATTAAAACTTTATGCACATTGACAGAGAGAAAGTAAACTAAAATTTATTTAAAATCTGTAATGCGACTATTTGATTTAATTGTGAAATATCTTTTTACTTGAGAATATATATAAATGTATCATAGCAAAATTATTCTGCAATATAATTATCCTTTCAAATATCTAAATTTTCTAATATACGATGTAATTGTGTAAGTATACCGTTCAGAAATATATTCAAATCTAATTGAAATATTATTTTATTTTTTGAAACAGGCTTACGTAATATCAAACTGGAATAATAAAAAGTACGCTTATATATTATATTAATTAACGTCATTTTATTACCTGCGCTAGTAAGAAGTCCTGTGGCGAGCCAAGGTTCTAATAACTGATAAACAATATTATCTTTCCCAATGTGTTTGGTACCACTTAATATCGTCTAAAATCATCGAAAATGTATTCAGCAGATAATTTAATAATTGCATTTCAAATTATTATTTAATCTCGATTTTTTTTTCTTTTATATTTTTTATCAAAATTTTTTTGTGAAACAGCAAAATGCAGGATTCCTGAATCTAACTAAATATCTAGAATTGATGAGTTTGATTTAATGAAAGAATTGAATTTCTCTCATTACCTCTAAATCATCTGGATGGCGAATGGATACAATGGGATAGAACATTAACCAGACTTTGAAAATGGGATAATACTCATTAGGTATCGTATGAAGCAAATTCCATTGATCCTCTGAAAAATATATTATAAATACAGCTACTAAAATTGTCGTGAGATTAATTTTTATCGTCATTTTCAATATTACTGAACCTTATTGTGCAGATATTTAAAAATGGATCGATAATAATTAAGAAAATTGATTGCAGAGAAATACTGCAGAGAGTAGAGTTTGAATAATTATTTAATATAGAACAAGCATGCAATAATATTAATAACTATCTGCTCAAAAGCAGAGGATTTATTAATTTACTTTTGCTTGTATGTGCGCACAAATGAAGAATCGTGTGTTAATTAAGGTAAGTAATTAAAAATTGTGTACTTGCCTGCAGAAACATTGAATTGAATTGCATTGCCTACAATTGGATCAATCGGTGGTCCTGGTATAAGATTAATCAATCGACCCTTTTTTCCAAAATGCACGTAATAATTATACACCAATAAAATGAAAATGAGTAATAACAATATGGTGATAAACATTGTTTCTTCTTTGACGTAATATCCTTCACTTAATTCAGCTCAATCTTCTTCTGGTTTCTGTTTCACTAATTTTTAGATGATAAGCGCAAAATAAATAAGATTTATTTTACCATCAAACTTACGCTTCTCTTTTATATTTTAGATATTATTAATCATAAATGTTATAAACTCATCGTAACTATATATTATAAACTCAATTGATCATAGAAACTTAACTTGATTATTGAAATGTGTTAATGGTATAATTTTTGTAGTTAATAACTTTAAAGAGCTAAAAAATATAATGAATTTATTTATTTATTTGTGTGTAATTAAAAAATATTATACGCGTAAAGTACCTAGTTTTAAATTAAATAAAAACATTTTTTAATCGATTTTTATATATATACATATATAATTATTACTTTATTTATCGTATGAAATAAAATTTAATAGATTTGCAAAATCTAAACTTGGATTAATAATATTTTATTTAGAGCACAAATAATTGTTATATTAATTATTTTAAACATTTAACAGATTTGTTGTATTTAACAGTGTTTTAATTTTATTGAGTACGCTTGAAGAAATATTCTTAAGCAAATCGAAATTTTTTTTATTTGTTGTTTTAGAACAATTGCGTAATATACAGATATTAAATAAAAGTGATAAAATTATCAAATTAAACTGTGCTTTGTAACGATATAAATAATGACAATGATAAATGTAATCACCTGTTATCGCGTTTTTGAAATATTATACGCTTAAATTATAATGCTGTTTAAAGTTCATTTGCAAATATTTTTATAAAATATAAAAATATAAATATATTTTTATTGTTATACAATAATATAGCTTTGTGATTACCTGGAGCAATTTTGTTAAACATATTTCAAACTCTGCCATGAACAAAAGAATATTTTTAAACATTTTTATTTGATTTTTATCAAAATTATTAGTCTTATATATTTTATGTTTCGATATAATGTCCAAATTATATTATCACAATTGCTTAACAGTTTCTCTCTTTATTTTTCTTATTTTAACATATCTGCAAAAATAATATATATTTTCAAAAGATTATAACAATCAAGCAAAGCTAACAACTTATAGTATTTGAAAAAAATTTAAGTAAAAATTACACGTTTACATTAATTATGAAATTATTAATTTGTCCGGATTTTATAATAGATAGAATATGAAATATTATTTTTTGCCGATTATATTTTATAGTGTTTTTGACGATCAATTTAAACCACCAATCAAATAATTAAAATCAGGGTTGGGTAATAATTAATTAATTAGTTAAAAATTAAAAATAAGTTAAAAAGTTAATAACTTTTAACTAAGCTCAGTTAATTTAAAATGTATTAATGTCTAACTTTAACTAGTTATTTTTGATCTCAAACTTACCTATTAACTTTTTTCCTAAGTTAAATTTTTGTATCTTTGAATACTATTATTATCTTTTTATAAGTTATAAACGTATTATTTTTAAATTAAGTATTATTAATTTTTATGTTCATTTGTCATCAATTGTAATTACCAAAAATATATTTCTATATAAAAATCAAAATTTTTTTTGTTACTTGTTATTATGTTTTAAAAGTATTAACAAAGAAAATTCTAATTTAACATACATGTTTTTAAAAATTAACTTTTGATTTAACTTCAGTTAATTTTATCTTAACTTAACTTTAATTAAATTAATTTTTTTCATAAAACTTTTATCTTAATTAAATAAATTTTATAAGCAACTAACATTAACTTAATTTAGTTTTTAAAAAATCATTAACATACCCAAGCCTGATTAAAATAAAATAACAAAACACATCGAATCAGTAATTATAAATGTACACGCAACAGCAAAATATCTTTGCGAAGTACTGACAGTGTAGATCAGAAATCTATATTTATAGCCGTCTTCAACTCCAGATTGCATCGCTTATCATAATTGTATCTTAATAAACAGAACAAATGTCGTCATAATTAAAAGTCAAAGAACATGCAATATATTTATTTAAGTAAGTAAGAATAATTGATTATTTAAAAATGTCGCTCGAGATTTAAAGTATATTGACTTAAAATAGTAAATTTTTTATTTAAAATATTTTTTTTTATTGATATATATATATATATATATATATATATACAATAAATCAATATGATAACGCCACAGAAAAAGAAAAATTTTACATTTTAACAAATTTTTACTAAAAATGTATATGGTCAACCATTTTAATGCTCTATCAAAATTCGTAAGATTTATTAGACAACAAATAATCAAAAAATGCTGATTTAGTCACTTATTGCTGTGAATTACCCTTAATGATGTAAAAGTCAATTTTTTTAAAGATAGTTTCATATTACAGAAACAAAAAATATACTACACTTATTTTGATATAGATGCCATATTCAAAACCCATAAAATCAGAAGATAAAACTTGTTTCCTTTTCTTTTGTTAGAAAAACTTCATCATCTTTATCTTTTTTTTTAAATAATAAATGGTAGCCTTTTAATTAATCAGAACACATGAGAGTTCTATGATGTATACGGAACGATAACAAAATCTCGATTTGCATAGCATTTATCTAATTGAGTCTATTAACTTATTAATTAATCCATTGCACAATAATTTATATTCTAATACTCATTTCAGTCAGACTTTACTTAGTTATATAATCATGATCTTATAATGTATTATATAAATAGCAGAATATTAGGGCAAAGTTTGTTAAATATTAATTTTGCATCTTTATATATTATGAATCTTATACAGGCTAGACAATTAATTTATCAATCGTCTAGCCTATTATAAGATTAATGAAATATAAAGTCGTTTAGGCATAAAAAAAATAGCCATTGAAATAACGAAATTACAAGACAAAAAAAAGGAATTGTTAAGCAAATTGTCACTCTAAAAATTATTGTGCAAGATAATATTGCTAAAGGGTATATTTTATTGTTTAAATGACGAAGACATTTCCTCTTACTAAAATAACATTAACACTTTTGAAAATTATGTTTATTAAGAAAATAGTACCAATTGTATAAAATTTATTTTTTTGATTAACATATTTTTTAAATATTAAAAATATAATAAAGATTTGAAACCAAATGACTAGTCTTACAAGTATAGTTTCTACATATTTATTTTCACGATTAAATTTACACATACAATATATATTTTGTTGAAGATATTCATAATAATTTCTCCCTCATTTTTAATACACATCAATATCTTACATTTATGTAGTATTTGTATTAATTTCAAATGATTGCTTGTCTTCGATCGGAACGAATTTTACACGAACCGGATGAGAAGGACGAATTATTAGATCAGCCCTCAGTCGGATATCTTTTATATGATCTACTGGCTCCAAGTAGAAATTATGCACCAAAGGAGCTATCATAGCCTTCATCTCCAGCATGGCGAATCGTTGACCTACAATTAAATATGTATCAAAATTTATTAAGTGTATTAAAATTTATCACGAGGAAAGATGCAAATGGCAAACAATTTACCGATGCAATTCCTCGGTCCAGCACTAAATGGTAGATAAGAATAAGGATGACGTTTCTGGATTTTCTCAGGCAAAAATCTATCCGGATCAAATACATCTGGATTTGGCCAAATATTGGGATCTCTGTGAACTCCCCAAATATTAAGATGCAAAATCGTTCCGGCAGGCACAACATATGAATCTGGAAAGCGTATTATAATATTAGTTGCAATTTGCAAAAATAAGTTTCTTTTCGAAAAATAAAATGTACATTAATATTTTTATAATGTTAGAGCAATTAAACATTATTTTAAAATTATTTTATATTTCATCTATATATTTTCCGTAAACATGATTGAAAATATAAAATTGTGACATGATCGAAAATATATATATAGAATAAAATGATTAATTACGTAATTTTACATCTTCCGCTGCTGTTCGTGATATTAAAAACGCACTCGGGTACAAACGTAGTGTCTCCTTTAAACATCTGTCTAAATATAATAAATTTTGCAACGATTTCATGGTAAGTTTTCCTCCGTTTTTCTGCATCACGGTATCAACTTCAGCCCTCACACGTTCCTATGTCATCAATAATAATTAAAATGCATTTTTACAAACATAGATCATAGATATGAAAAAATGTTATATTAAATAAAATTTTATATTTATTTTAATGTTGTTTTAATTTTTCAGGACGTATTATATAAAAAAAATATGCGACAATCATTAAATATTTATATTACTTTGAATAAAAATTAGAATAAATATATTATATCTCAATATGAATAAAAGAAAAATACCTGGATATCTTTATGTTCGGCTAATAGTAATAAAGTAAAGATTAAACCCATTGCTGTAGTATCATGACCCTGTAATTATGATCATATTGTATTGTTATATGTATTCAGATAATATGTACAAAAATTACTTAAGCATTACCAATACATACTCCAAACATAAACGTATCAATTTCTTCTCTGATATCGGAATCAGTCAAAGAACCTTGTCGAGATTCCAATATTAAAAGATCCAACATGGCAAGTCGCTTTTTTTTAGCTAGAAATAAAAAACGTATTAGCGTCAAATCCTATAATTTTAACACTAATAATTTTTAAGTGTGATATTTCAATTATGCATTATATCAATTACACTATATATATTTTCTCGTTTAAAATTATTAAAATTATATTATATATAATAATAATAAAAACGATAAGTATACTCGTATTTTGAATTATTACGTGTGGTTATGTATTCGACATAAATTCTAGAAGGATGATTTGTAAAATTTATATTGCGCAATCAAACTAGAAACTCTGATTCTATTCATACATACTTCCAAAAACTTCTATATCATCAATCTCCATCTTATTATTTTCAAGATTTTTCAAGTATTGATCATTCGTGCGGTCGTGATAAAGTTTTCTTTCTGCGATGATCTAAACAATATTAAATTTTTGTTTAGTATAATTAGCAATATCGAACAGTTTTATAATTATAAATATAATAGCATGATAGTTATTATTATTTATGATTAATCGCGTAATCTTGCGATAGAAAGATTGAAAAATTTATTGTAATTTTACATAAAGGAGAGTTTGAAAATAACGTACTTTTTCTGTAAATTTATGTAATACTTTCAAGACCCTTTTTTGCTTAAATCCAGGTAAAGTCAATGAAAATATCCAAGTGTTATAGAACCAAGGTCTTACTAGTCTAAACCGTAATTCAATAAGGTTATTATAATTCCAATAACAATATAATCTTATTATTTTTTGTTATTTTAAGTTTTATTTAAAGCCATCGTAAAATCTTGGAGTGATTTTTAAATAGTCATGGATTTTGGGTAATAGAAGTAAAATTTTAAAAAGTATTTACGTATATAACAATGAAGAAGTAAATGCTAAATCTTCTAACAAAACATTTTGCTTTATTTGTAATTATAGTTTTTTATGGAAGATAACTTATCTTCAGATATTTAATTGCGTACAATTTATTTTACTTAATTGTAATTGTTTGAATAATATAACTTTTTAACAATTTTTTCAACATTTTAAAGATTGGAACAATTTTTAATTTAGAATGAAACTTTAATCGGAGCGCGCGCACAATATTTTTATTATTAATTATTGACCTAAACCAATTGAATTTTATAACTAATTAGTTACCGTCCAGGACTATTCAATAATTACTCTATTTCTTGAAAAATATAGATATATCAAAACCAAATCTCAAATAATTATAAATATGCATATATATATATATATATATATATATATATATATATATAAATTACCTATAAACTACTAATTTGGTTATTTCGTGAATCGCGTTTTGATACCGTTGCTGAAACTCGCCCAAATTTTTCAAAGAAACGCCCATGGCAGTTTCTGCAAGTGCATTATTATATAAAATTAAAAAGACAATTGTTTTTAGGTAAATAGATGTAGTTTTTGTATAAAAAATCAATAATATTACTTATCTTTATTATAATATTACTTTGTAGCATTAATTAAGGAATACATTTTCTTCTTATCTTTTAAGCCCCAATTTTTATTTTTAATTAAATCTTTATATATAAAAACACGAACATTTATAAAAATCTTACCGCATATCGCATTTAATGTATATTCACTAATAAATGGTAATAAATCTTTTACAACAGTTCCTTCGGCATCCTTCAAAGATTTTGTCATGCATTCGCCCTCCTTGATCAAAATCTCAACAAACTGATTTAATATATTGAAATGAAATGCAGGTGTTAATATTTTTCGTCGCGAATGCCATTTAGCACCTATTCAAAACAAAAACAAGAAAATAACAACATGAAATTGTCTAATAAAAATGATAAAATATAACATTACTATCTCTCTCAATTTTAATGTTTAGCAGCGGACCAATCCTTCGATATTATTAATTCTCTTAAATTTATATCTTTCTTTTATAATGCAATTTTTTTTACAATTTTTAAACCGTCTTTTCATGAAATTTTTTCAGTGAAAGGTATTATTATAATTTAAATTATTTTATAATTAAAACTTTATGCACATTGACAGAGAGAAAGTAAACTAAAATTTATTTAAAATCTGTAATGCGACTATTTGATTTAATTGTGAAATATCTTTTTACTTGAGAATATATATAAATGTATCATAGCAAAATTATTCTGCAATATAATTATCCTTTCAAATATCTAAATTTTCTAATATACGATGTAATTGTGTAAGTATACCGTTCAGAAATATATTCAAATCTAATTGAAATATTATTTTATTTTTTGAAACAGGCTTACGTAATATCAAACTGGAATAATAAAAAGTACGCTTATATATTATTTTAATTAACGTCATTTCATTACCTGCGCTAGTAAGAAGTCCTGTGGCGAGCCAAGGTTCTAATAACTGATAAACAATATTATCTTTCCCAATGTGTTTGGTACCACTTAATATCGTCTAAAATCATCGAAAATGTATTCAGCAGATAATTTAATAATTGCATTTCAAATTATTATTCAATCTCGATTTTTTTTTCTTTTACATTTTTTATCAAAATCTTTTTGTGAAACAGCAAAATGCAGGATTCCTGAATCTAACTAAATATCTAGAATTGAAGAGTTTGATTTAATGAAAGAATTGAATTTCTCTCATTACCTCTAAATCATCTGGATGGCGAATGGATACAATGGGATAGAACATTAACCAGACTTTGAGAATGGGATAATACTCATTAGGTATCGTATGAAGCAAATTCCATTGATCCTCTGAAAAATATATTATAAATACAGCTACTAAAATTGTCGTGAGATTAATTTTTATCGTCATTTTCAATATTACTGAACCTTATTGTGCAGATATTTAAAAATGGATCGATAATAATTAAGAAAATGGATTGCAGAGAAATACTGGCTATAGTTTGAATAATTATTTAATATACAATAAGCATGCATTAATATTGATAACTATCTGCTTAAATCAAAGAACTTATTAATTTAAATGTTGCTTGTATGTGCGCACAAATGAAGAATCGTGTGTTAATTAAGGTAAGTAATTAAAAATTATGTACTTGCCTGCAGAAACATTAAATTGAATTGCATTGCCTACAATTGGATCAATCGGTGGTCCCGGTATAAGATTAATCAATCGACCGTTTTTTCCATGATGCACGTAATAATTATACACCAATAAAATAAAAATGAATAATAATAATATGGTGATAAACATTGTTTTTTTTTAACGTAATATTATTAACTCAAATTCAGCTCAATCTTTTTCTGGTTTCTGTTTCACTGATTCTTGAATGACTTGCGCAAAATTATAATATATTATGAGTACGATGTGATTTACAGCAGGAACTGAAGGTGAGTGCTATAGCCACGCAAATACGAGTAATATAAATCTTGATGCATTTCTGACACTAATGTGGTAAAGGAAGGGATACAATGAATCGTTGAGAAATAAGCCATTTTCTTTCTCCACACGCTAAACAGCAATCGAAAATCAAACTTTTGCAACAGGTATTGCAAAAATAATATTTATTTTATCACCAAACTTACACTTCTCTTTTATATTTGAAATATTATTAATCTTAAATTTTTGCGTGCAAAACTTGCACGTAAACATATAAATTATATGCGTATAAACTGTGTAAGATATATGCCTGAATTTTGCATGTGGAATATGTTTATGTATATTGTACGCAAATGATTAGCTTATGTATTATTTAATCACCAGCAATCTACGTGCAAATGTACAGAAAAAACAGTATCCGTGAATTATTAAAGTATTCTTGAGTTATTTAAATATCCTTAGAATTATTATATCCATTTCTGCTTGCATTTCGTGTCACAGCGTTTACTTCGTGAGCGGCTGTCATTGCATTTTTTTTTTGACAGTTATATAAATATCGAGGTGTTATAGTGTAGTGACAGTATGTAATGTATATTAAAGGATTTGATGTATTTAATAGTTAAAAGTGTTTATTAATTTTGTGATTGAGTGGTTTCGATTACAGTTATTTTTGCATATTCTACAAGAACATTAATAATGTGAACAAATTATAATTTTATTAATTAATAAACATTAATTAACTAAAACTATTATAATTTTTTCACATTATCAATACTGTCGTACAATGTGCAAAAAGTAACAAATATGCAATTTGCATATAATCCGAAGTCTAGATATCACTAATATAAAGTCTAGAACAAAGAATTTGTATTATGTTGAGACATAATAAAAATTCAATGAATTAAAATTATGTTGAGACAAAATAAAAATTCGATAAATTAAAATTATATTGAAGTATAATAAAAATTCGATAAATTAAAATTATGTCGAAACATAATAAAAATTCGATGAATTAAAATTATGTCGAAACATAATAAAAATTTGATAAATTAAAATTATGTCGAGACATAATAAAAATTCAATGATAATTAAGATTATGTCAAGACATAATTAAAATTCAATGAATTAAAATTATTTCAAGACATAATAAAAATTCGATGAATTAAAATTAAGTCAAGACATAATAAAAACTCGATGAATTAAATCTAAGTCAAGACATAATGTCAAGACATAATAATAATTCAAGAATTTTTATTATGTTGAGACATATTAAAAATTCGATGAATTAAAAATATGTCGCGACATAAAAAAATTCTTGAATTATTATTATCTCGACATAATAAAAATTCTTGCTTTTATTATGTCTTGACTTAATTTTAATTCATCGAATTTTTATTATGTCTCAAAATAATTTCAATTTATCGAATTTTTATTATGTCTCGACATAATAAAAATTCTTAAATTATTATTATGTCCCGACATAATTTTAATTTATCGAATTTTTATTATACATCTACATAATTTTTTTTTCATTGACAGTTAGAATTCTCTTTTACACAGCTTTATAAACAAAAAGATAAACAAAAGATAAACAAAAGAAAAGCAGAATATATGTATTATTAATAATATATTATTTATTGCGTACTCGTATATAAACAATAAAAAATATATATAATAAACTCAGAAATAAATATTTTTATCGGCTTTCAATATAAAAAATATAAATATGCTGTTTTCTAAGTCAGACAATAGAGCCAGAGAAACGAAAAATATAGTTTCTACATGTATATTTTCACGATTAAATTTACACATGCAATATATATTTTATTGAACATATAATATGCACAATAATTTTTCGCTCATTTTTACAATACATCAATATCTTACATTTATGTAGTATTTGCGTTTATTTCAAATGATTGCTTGCCTTCGATCGGAACGAATTTTACACGAACCGAATGAGAAGGACGAATTATTAGATCAGCCCTCAGCCGGATATCCTTTATGCGATCTACTGGCTCCAAGTAAAAATTGTGCAACAAAGGAGCTATCACAGCTTTCAACTCTAGCATACCGAATCGTTGACCTATAATTAAAGAAATATCAAAATTTATAATATTTACAATAATTTTTCATTGCGAGAATTGAAATTGCATGTTATTCACCTATGCAGTTCCTTGGTCCTGCGCTGAATGGTAAATAAGAATACGGATGACGATTCTGGATCTTCTCCGGCAAAAATCTATCAGGATCAAATGCATCTGGATTTGGCCAAAAATTAGGATCTCTGTGAACTCCCCAAATATTAAGATGCAAAATTGTTCCGGCAGGCACAACATATGAATCTGCAAAGCGTATTATTATATTACATTTGCAATTAGCAAAAATAAGATTCTTTTCGAAAAATGAAATGAACATTAATATTCTTAAAATGTTAGAGCAATTAAATATTATTTTAAAATTATTTTACATTTGGTCTATTAATTTTCCGTGTACATATGTGACATGATCGAAAATATGTGTATAAAATAAAATGATTAATTACGTAATTTTACGTCTTCCGCTGCTGTTCGTGATATAAAAAACACACTCGGGTACAAACGTAGTGTTTCCTTTAAACATCTGTCTAAATATAATAAATTTTGCAACGATTTCATGGTAAGTTTTCCTCCGTTTTCCTGCATCACGGTATCAACTTCAGCCCTCACACGTTCCTGTCATCAATAATAGTTAAAATGCATTTTTTACATACATATAGATCATAGATATGAAAAAAATGTTATATTAAATAAAATTTTATATTTATTTTAATGTTGTTTTAATTTTTCAGGACGTATTATATAAAAAAAATATGCGACAAATGCTTAATATTTGTATTACTTTGAAGAAAAATTAAAATAAAATTATTATATCTCAATATAATGAAAGAAAAATACCTGGATATCTTTATGTTCGGCTAATAGTAATAAAGTAAAGATTATACCCATCGCTGTAGTATCATGACCCTGTAATTATGATCATATGTATTGTTATAAGTGGTTAGATAATATGTACAAAAAATTAATTAAGCATTATACCAATACATACTTCAAACATAAATGTATCAATTTCTTCTCTGATATCGGAATCGGTCAAGGAACCTTGTCGAGATGCCAATATTAAAAGATCCAACATGGCAAGTCGCTTCTTTTTAACTAGAAATGAAAGAGCATATTAACATCAAACTAATTTTTGAATATGGTATAATTAAATTATATATCATATCAAAATTATTATACATATTTTCTCGTTTAAAATTATTAAAATTATATTATATATATAATAATAATAAAATTTTTTGGTAAGTATATTTTGAATTATATACGTGCGATTATGTATTTGACATAAATTCTAGAAGGATAATTTGTAATATTTCAATTGCCCAATCAACCTAAAATTAGAAACTGCATTTATTCATACATACTTCCAATTACTTCTGTATCATCAATTTCTGCTTTATCATTTTCAAGATTTTTCAAATATTGATCATTCGTGCGTTCGTGATAAAGTTTTCTTTCTGCGATGATCTAAATGAAATTAAATTTTTGCTTACTAATTAGCAATAGCGAACAGTTTTATAATTATAGACATAATAGCATGAGTTGCTATAATATTTATGATTAATCGCATAATCTTGTGATAGAAGGATTGAGAAATTTATTGTAATTTTACATAAAAAAGAAAGTTCAAAAAATCTTAATTAATAAGCTTTATAACGTACTTTTTCCGTAAAGTTATGTAATATTTTCAAGATCCTTTTTTGCTTAAGTCCAGGTAAAGACAATGAAAATATCCAAATGTTATGGAGCCAAGGTCTTAGCAGTCTAAATCGTAATCCAATAAGATTATTACAATACTAATAATAATATAATATTTTATTATTTTTTATTATTCAAAATTTTATTTAAAGCTTTAGTAAAATCTTAGAGTGATTTTTTAATGGTCATGGATTGTGAAAAATACATGTAAAATTATAGAAACTATTTATGTAACAAAAAAGTATATGCTAAATCTTCTAGAAAAACATTTTACTTTATTTGTAATAATAGTTTTTTGTGGAAGAGAACTCATCTTCAGATATTTAATTATGTACAATTTATTTTATTTAATTGTAATTGTTCCAATAACTTAACTTTTCAACCATTTTTTCATTATAAAGACTGAAAAATTTATAATTTGAAATTAAACATTAATTAAAACGCGCACACAATTGAACGCGCAACCCATTGAATTTTATAACTAATTATTTACCTTCCAGGACTATTCAATAATTACTCTATTTTCTAAAAGATATAATTATTTAAAAAAAAAACATAACTCAAATAATTTTAAATATATACATGTATATATATATATATATATATATATATATATATATAAATTAAATTACCTATAAACTGCTAATTTGGTTATTTCGTGAATCGCATTTCGATAACGTTGCTGAAACTCGCCCAAATTTTTCAAGGAAACGCCCATGGCAGTTTCTGCAAGTGATTTATTATATAAAATTAAAAAGACAATTGTTTTTAGGTAAATAGATGTAGTTTTTGTATAAAAAATCAATAATATTACTTATCTTTATTATAATATTACTTTGTAGCATTAATTAAGGAATACATTTTCTTCTTATCTTTTAAGACATAACTTTTATTTTTCATTAAATCTTTATATATAAATACAAGAATATTGTAAAAATCTTACCGCATATCGCATTTAATGTATATTCACTAATAAATGGTAATAAATCTTTTACAAGAGGTCCTTCGGCATCCTTCAAAGATTTTGTCATACATTCGCCCTCCTTGATCAAAATCTCAACGAACTGATTTAATATATTGAAATGAAATGCAGGTGTTAATATTTTTCGTCGCGAATGCCATTTAGCACCTATTCAAAACAAAAACAAGAAAATAACAACGTAAAATTGTCTAATAAAAATGATAAAATATAAAATTACTATCTCTCTCAATTTTAATGTTTAGCAGCGGACCAATCCTTCGATATTATTAATTCTTTTAAATTTATATCTTTTTTTTATAATGCAATTTTTTTTACAATTCTTTAAACCGTCTTTTCATGAAATTTTTTTAGTAAAAGATATTATTATAATTTAAATTATTTTATAATTAAACTTTATGCATTGACAGAGAGAAAGTAAACTAAAATTTATTTAAAATCTGTAATGCGACTATTTGATTTAATTGTGAAATATCTTTTTACTTGAAAATATATATAAATGTATCATAGCAAAATTATTCTGCAATATAATTATCCTTTCAAATATCTAAATTTTCTAATATACGATGTAATTGTGTAAGTATACCGTTCAGAAATATATTCAAATCTAATTGAAATATTATTTCATTTTTTGAAACAGGCTTATGTAATATCAAACTGGAATAGTAAAGTACGCTTATATATTATATTAATTAACGTCATTACATTACCTGCGCTAGTAAGAAGTCCTGTGGCGAGCCAAGGATGTAACGTCTCATAAATACGACTTTTCTCAATATGTTTGGTGCCACTTAATATCGTCTGAAATCATCGAAAATGTATTCAGCAGATAATTTATTAATCACATTTCAAATTAATATTTAATTTCGATCGAAAATATCTACGATACTCTCTGTGCTTGTTTCTTTTTGAAGAAATTTTGTTTACGTTTATTTCTTTTAAACTTGTTATGAAAATCTTTTTGTGAAACAGAAAAATATAGGATTCCTAATTCTAACTAAATATCTAAAATTGATTAGTTTAACTTAATAAAAGAATTGAATTTCTCTTATTACCTCTAAATCATCTGGATGGCGAATGGATACAGCGGGATGGAACATAATCCAGATTTTGAATATAGGATAATACTCATTAGGTATCGTACAAAGCAGCTTCCATTGATCCTCTGAAAAATATGTTATAAATAGAGCTATCAAAATTGTAGTGGTATTAATTTTATCGTTATTCTCAATATTACTGAACCTCGTGCAGATATTTAAAAATTGATCAATAATAATTAAGAAAATAAATTACAGATAAATACTGGCTATAGTTTGAATAATTATTTAATATGGAATAAGCATGCAATAATATTAATAACTATCTGCTCAAAAGCAGAGGATTTATTAATTTACTTTTGCTTGTATGTGCACGCAAATGACGAATCGTGTGTTAATTAGGGTAAGTATTGTAATTAAAAATTGTGTACTTGCCTGCAGAAACATGGAATTGAATTGCATTGCCTATAATTGGATCAATCGGTGGTCCTGGTATAAGATTAATCAATCGACCGTTTTTTCCATAATGCACATAATAGTTATACACTAATAAAATAAAAATAGATAATAACAATATAATGATAAACATTGTTTTTCTTTTACGTAATATCTTTCACTTAATTTAGCTTAATCTTCTTCAGGCACCTGTTTTTTTAATTTTTGGATTACAATTTCGTGGCACAAAATAAATAATATTTATTTTATCACAAAACTTACACTTCTTCTTAATATTTTAAATATTTTAATTAATATGTTCTTTTTTATTATCTACTACAAGACAAAGGACTGCAATAATAACTTAAATATAGACAAACATACATAAAATACATTTTAAATCATGAACATCAAACGGAAGAAAGAATTTCCAGTGCAAACATAATTTTATATATTCGAATTTGATAAGGAGCGACTGAAGAGACAAATTTTTGTCGAAACGTCTTGCGTAATTTAATTATATATATATATATATATATATATATATATATATATATATGTAAATCGGATTTCGAAATTTGCGATATTAATTGTAACAGCTTTGTAACAATGTTATTTTATATTACTTGCTCGTTAAGGTCTTCAAATAAATCTTATTTTTGTATAACATGCGCTTAAATTTAATTGACAATTTTATTAATTATTACTTATTTGTAGTGTTTTTGACAATCAATTTCAACTCCAATTAAATAATTAAAATAAAGTCACAAATCACATCACGCAGATATTGTATATGTACTCCTGCCAACAAAACATTTTCGCGAAATGCTGACAGTGCAAATCAGAAGTTTGTATTTATAGCCGTCTTTAGCTCAAGAGGATATCACAAATCAGAGTTGTATCTTAAGAATTAATGTATATCACAGACCGTCTGTCTCAAAGGTTATCTGAAATGTCAAAAAATTAAAGTTGAGCAGAATACAAATTCCAATTGATTAAACATTTTCTATAAATCACGAAATTATACTTTAAAGTATTTTTAATATAAATAGGTCTTAATTTCCAAGAAAATGTATAAATTGTGTATATTTTCCACAGAAACATATTTTTTTACAATAGTACCTTAAATTCAACCTAAGAAAAATAAAATTATTTTATCATGAAAAGCGAATAGAATATTTTCAACTGTTTTTTCAATTAATATAAAATTCATTTTTATAGCACAGAGTGTGATAAAAATATTTAAACAAAGAAAAACACAAGCATCAAATTGCAAACATCCAAAAATGTCTGATTGTCAGTCTGAGTCGTCAAAAACAATTTTTTAAGGATAATGAGATGTTGTCACGTTTTATCATCGATATTGCATCAAACCGATAATGACAGTTATTTTTTAATAATACTAGATAATACAAGCGCGATAAACAAATTTTTACTCCGCGAGTGTACATAAATTTAATGCGCCGAATTTCAATTATGTACATAATTCTAATTCCCGAATTTTATTATACATATATATAATTTTAATTTGCTGAATTTTTATTATAAACATAATTTTAATTCGCCGTATTTCTTTTATATAAATAATTTCAATTTTTGATTCTCCATTATGTTCCTAATTTTAATTATTAAATTTCTATTATGCACATAATTTTAATTCGTCGTATTTCTATTATGTAAATAACGAAAATTGTACCTAATAGAATTTTTTTAATAGTTATTTCAAAACGAACAATATGTAAATGTTTTAAAACATTTTTATATGTATGAAGAATATAATATTACAAAATCAAATTTTTATCATTGCTTTTTCATAGTTTATGAATAATAAAATTAAAAAATTATCAACTTATAAAAAAACAAATAAAAAATTGGAAGTAATTCATGAAAATGTAGGACGTTATTATATAAAATGTTTAATTATAAAAATTCACGATCTCATTGATTGTAATATATCTCCAATACATCCAAAACAAATTTCATCTTGATTGAAGACTAAATAACAATATATTATTTATTTAAGAAAAAAAGAATAATTGATTATTTGAAAATGTGGCTCGAGATTTAAAGTATATTGATTTCAAATAGTATTTTTTTTCATTTAAAATTATTTTACACCTAATATTATATAATCTAAATACTCATTTCAGTCAGGCTAAAGTTCAACTAGTATATAATCATTATCTTATAATGTAATAATATAATAGCAAAATTTTAAAATAGATCAAAGTTTGCTAAATATTAAATTTGCATCTTTTATATATTATCAATCTTATACAGGCTAAACGATTAATTTATCAAAAAAAGGAATTGTCAAGCGAATTATCACTCCGAAAAATTTATTGTGCAAGATAATATATTGCTAAAGTGTATATTTTTTATTGTTTAAATAGAAAAGCCTTTTCTTCTCACAAAAATTACATTAACACTTTTGAAAATTATGTTTATTAACAAAATAGTACCAATTGTATAAACTCTTATTTTTTTATGTTTAATAAAATATTAAAAATATTTTATAATAAAAATTTGAAACCAATAATGAATAGTCTCACACGTATAGTTCCTACATGTTTATTTTCACAATTAAATTTACACATACAATATAAATTTTGTTGAACATATAATATGAATAATAATTCTTCCCCAATTTTTAAAAAACATCAATATCTTACATTTATGTAATATTTGTGTTAGTTTCAAATGATTGCTTGCCTTCGATTGGAACGAATTTTACACGAACCGGATGAGAAGGACGAATTATTAGATCAGCTCTCAGCCGGACATCTTTTATATGATCTACTGGCTCTAAGTAAAAATTATGCACCAAAGGAGCTATCATAGCCTTCATCTCCAGCATGGCGAATCGTTGACCTACAATTAAAAGTGTATCAAAAGTTATCAAGTGTATTAAAATTTATCACGAAGAAAGATGCAAATGGCAAACAATTTACCGATGCAATTCCTCGGTCCAGCACTAAATGGTAGATAAGAATAAAAATGACGTTTCTGGATTTTCTCAGGCAAAAATCTATCCGGATCAAATATATCTGGATCTGGCCAGAAATTGGGATCTCTGTGAACTCCCCAAATATTAAGATGCAAAACCGTTCCGGCAGGCACAACATATGAATCTGGAAAGCGTATTATAATATTAGTTGCAATTTACAAAAATAAGAATCTTTTTGAAAAAAATGTATATTAATAGAGCAATTAAACATTATTTTAAAATTATACATTTGATCTATATATTTTCCGTGCATATGTGACATGTTTGAAGATATATGTAGGAAAAAAAAATTAATTACGTAATTTCACGTCTTCCGCTGCTGTTCGTGATATAAAAAACACACTCGGGTACAAACGTAGTGTTCCTTTAAACATCTGTCTAAATATAATAAATTTTGCAATGATTTCATGGTAAGTTTTCCTCCATTTTCCTGTATCACAGTATCGACTTCAGCCCTCACACGTTTCTGTCATCAATAATAATTAAAATGCATTTTTTTATAGACATAGATATATAGATATGAAAAAATGTTATATAAAAATAAATTTTATATTTTTTTAAAGTTGCTTTAATTTTTCAGAACATATTATATAGAAAAATAATATGCGACAAATGCTTAATATTTGTATTACTTTGAAGAAAAATTAGAATAAAATTATTATATCTCAATATGAATGAAAGAAAAATACCTGGATATCTTTATGTTCGGCTAATAGTAATAAAGTAAAGATTATACCCATTGCTGTAGTATCATGACCCTGTAATTATGATCATATTGTATTGTTATATGTATTCAGATAATATGTACAGAAAATTACTTAAGCATTACCAATACATACTTCAAACATAAACGTATCAATTTCTTCTCTGATATCGGAATCAGTCAAAGAACCTTGTCGAGATTCCAATATTAAAAGATCCAACATGGCAAGTCGCTTTTTTTAGCTAGAAATAAAAAACGTATTAGCGTCAAATCCTATAATTTTAACACTAATAATTTTTAAGTGTGATATTTCAATTATGTATTATATCAATTAAACTATATATATTTTCTCGTTTAAAATTATTAAAATTATATTATATATAATAATAATAAAATTTTACGGTAAGTATATTTTGAATTATTACGTGTGATTATGTATTCGACATAAATTCTAGAAGGATGATTTGTAAAATTTATATTGCGCAATCAAACTAGAAACTCTGATTCTATTCATACATACTTCCAAAAACTTCTATATCATCAATCTCCATCTTATTATTTTCAAGATTTTTCAAGTATTGATCATTCGTGCGGTCGTGATAAAGTTTTCTTTCTGCGATGATCTAAACAATATTAAATTTTTGTTTAGTATAATTAGCAATATCGAACAGTTTTATAATTATAAATATAATAGCATGATAGTTATTATTATTTATGATTAATCGCGTAATCTTGCGATAGAAAGATTGAAAAATTTATTGTAATTTTACATAAAGGAAAGTTTGAAAATAACGTACTTTTTCTGTAAATTTATGTAATACTTTCAAGATCCTTTTTTGCTTAAATCCAGGTAAAGTCAATGAAAATATCCAAGTGTTAGAGAACCAAGGTCTTAGTAGTCTAAACCGTAATTCAATAAGGTTATTATAATTCCAATAACAATATAATCTTATTATTTTTTGTTATTTTAAGTTTTATTTAAAGCCAACGTAAAATCTTGGAGTGATTTTTAAATAGTCATGGATTGTGGGTAACAGAAGTAAAATTTTAAACAGAACATTTTTAATAGAAGTAAAATTTTACAAACTATTTAAGTAACAAAAATGTATGCAATTTTTTCTAACAAAACATTTTACTTTATTTCTAATTATAAATTTTTATGGAAGGTTACTTAACTATTTTTTCAACATTATAAAGACTAAACAATTTATAATTTGAAATAAAACATTAATTAGAGCGCACACACAATATACATTTTGATTGCTAATTATTGTCTTAAACCCATTGCATTATGTATATAACTAATTATTTACCTTCCAGGACTATTCAATAATTACTCTATTTTTTATATATATATATATATATATATATATATATATGTGTATACTATCTTTATAGAAATTTATCACTATAGTGACGCCAATTTATCACTTATTTCGAGTACTTAAATTACTGTATATCAATATTTTAAGTACTCGAAATAAGGGAGTAATTGGCGTTACTAGTGATAAATTTCTACAAAAGCAGAATTATAACTCAAACAATTAAAAATATACATATATATAATAATTATATATATATATATATATATATATATATATATATAAATTACCTATAAACTATTAATTCGATTATTTCGTGAATCGCGTTTCGATACTGTTGCTGAAACTCGCCCAAATTTTTCAAAGAAACGCCCATGGCAGTTTCTGCAAGTGCATTATTATATAAAATTAAAAAACAATCGGTAATTGTTTTTAGGTAAATAGAAGTAGTTTTTGTATAAAAAACATCAATAATATTACTTATCTTTATTGTAATATTACTTTGTAGCATTGATTAAAGAACAAATTTTCTTCTTATCTTTTAAGCCCCAATTTTTATTTTTATTAAATCTTCATATATAAAAAAAACGAACATTTATAAAAATCTTACCACATATCGCATTTAATGTATATTCACTAATAAATGGTAATAAATCTTTTACAACAGTTTCTTTGGCATCCTTCAAAGATTTTGTCATGCATTCGCCCTCCTTGATCAAAACCTCAACAAACTGATTTAATATATTGAAATGAAACGCAGGTGTCAATATTTTTCGTCGCGAATGCCACTTAGCACCTACTCAAAACAAAAACAAGAAAAAAACAACGTGAAATTGTCTGATAAAAATCATAAGCTATAAAATTACTATCTCTCTCAATTTTAATGTTTATCAAAAGACTAATTTTTCAATATTATAAATTCTCTTAAATTTATTTCTTTTATAATGCAATTGTTTTGATAATTCTTTAAACTTTCCTCTCTTGTCTAGTAAAAGGTATTATTATATTTTTAATTTTTATATAATTATAATTATTATAATTTTTATTATTTTATAATTAAAACTATATGGATTGACAGATAGAAAGTAAACTAAAATTTATTTAGAATTTGTAATGCAACTATTCGATTTAATTGTGAAATATTTAATTACTTGAGAATATATGTATCATGGCAAAATTATTCTACAATATAATCACCTTTTCAAATATTTAAATTTATTAATATACGATGAAATTGTGTAAGTATACCGTTAAAAAAATATTTAATTCAAATTAAAATATTATTTAATTTTTTAAAACATACTTATGTAATATCGAACTGGAATAGTGTAAAGTACGCTTATATATATTAATTAACGTCATTACATTACCTGCGCTAGTAAGGAGTCCTGTGGCGAGCCAAGGTTCTAATGCCTCATAAATAATACTTTTCTCAATATGTTTGGTGCCACTTAATATTGTCTGAAATCATCGAAAACGTATTAAGCAGATAATTTATTAATAGCATTTCAAATTATTATCTAATCTCGATTATTATCTACGATATTCTTTTTTTTTTTTTTTTTTTTAAGAAACTTTGGTTACGTTTATTTCTTCTACATGTTTTATCAAAATCTTTTTGTGAAACAAAAAATGCAGAATACCTAAATTTAACTAAATATCTAGAATTGATTGATTTAATAAATGAATTAAATTTCTCTTATTATATACCTCTAAATCATCTGGATGGCGAATAGATACAACGGGATAGAACATTAACCAGAGTTTGAAAATGGGATAATACTCGGGCATACAAGTTAACGTACACAGCAACTTCCATTGTTCTTCTGAAAAGTGTATTATAAATACCACAATTGTTGTGGAATTAATTTTATCATTATTTTTAATATTACTGAATCTTTGTGCAGATATTTAAAAATGGATTGATAATAATTAAGAAAATAAATTACAGATAATAGTAGCTATAGTTTGAATAATTATTTAATATGTAATAAACATGCACTAATATTGATAACTATCTGCTTAGAGAAGCAGAAGAGATTCATTAATTTACTTTTGCTTGTATGTGCGCACAAATTAAGATAAGTAATTAAAAATTGTGTACTTGCCTACAGAAATTGAAGTGAATTGAATTGCATTGCCTATAATTGGATCAATCGGTGGTCCTGGTATAAGATTAATCAATCGGCCCTTTTTTCCATGATGCACGTAATAATTATACACCAATAAAATAAAAATGGATAATAACAATATAGTGATAAACATCGTTTCTTTTTTGACGTAATATCTTTTACGTAATTCAACTCAATATTCTTCAGGTTACTGTTTCTCTGATTTTTGTACTGCAAATTCTTGTCACAAAATAAATAATATTTATTTTACCACAAAACTTACACTTTTCTTTTATATTTTAAATATTATTAATATGTTTTTTTTAATAATAAGTTAAATATAGATGAACACACATAAAATACATTTTAAATCATGGACACAAAATGGAAGAAGGGAACACTATACACAAACCAACAGAAACGAAACACTGTATATTTGAATTTGCAGAGGAAGCGACTGAAGAGGCACAATTAAGTTAGTGTCGAAACGTCTCGCGTAATTTAATTATATAAGTAAATCTGATTTTGGAATTCACGATGTTAATTGCAACAGCTTTGCAACAAAATAATTTTATATTACTTGCTCGTTAAGGCCTTCAAATAAATCTTACTATTTTATTACACGAGCTTTTAAATTTAATTAACAATTTTATTAATCAATACATGATACCGTTTTTGACGAATCAATTTAAACACCAATTAAATGATTAAAATAAAGTCACAAATCACATCAAGCACATTGTATATGTACATCTGTCAACGGAACATCTTCGCGAAGTACTAATGAAATATAAATAATTTATATTTATATAGTCATTTTCAATTTAAGCGTTATTCAAAAGGTAATGCAAGAAAGGAAATGCTTCGAAATGTAAATAAAAAAATACTGAGCTGACTTCAAGATCGTAAATCAAAGTTGTATCTTAATCAGCAAAACAAATTTTATCTTGATTGAAGATTATATAGATAACTATATATTTATTTAAGAAAGTAAGAATAATTGATTATTTGAAAAACAATTATAAAAATCTTTGAACAAACTTTTTAAACGACCAGACTGGGCAAAAAATGTTAATTTATTAAATCTTCCTCATAACGTTTCGACCTTTGGTTTAAGTTCTTATCAAATGAATATTTCAAACTCTATTCATAGATCTCTTAGCAACAATATACGATTAATTTATCAAAAAAAAAAAAAGGAATTATCATGCAAATTATCACTCGGAAAAACTTATTGTGCAATATAATATTGCTAAAGTGTATATTTTATTGTTTAAATGGGAGAGCCCTTTCTTCTTGCAAAAATAACAATACCACTTTTGAAAATTATGTTTATTAAGAAAATAATCAATTGTATAAAATTTCATTCTATTGATTAACATATTTTTTTTATTGACAGATTTTTTAAATATTAAAAATATTTTATAATAAAGATTTGAAACCAAATGGATGGTCTTACATGTATATTTTCACGATTGAATTTACAAATACAATATATATTTTATTGAACATATAATATGTGTAATGATTTTTCTTTCATTTTTACAATACATCAATTTCTTACATTTACATGGTATTTGTGTTAGTTTCAAATGATTTGCCTTCGATTGGAACGAATTTTACACGAACCGGATGAGAAGGACGAATTATTAGATCAGCTCTCAGCCGGACATCTTTTATATGATCTACTGGTTCCAAGTAGAAATTGTGCACCAAAGGAGCTATCATAGCCTTCATCTCCAGCATGGCGAATCGTTGACCTACAATTAAAAGTGTATCAAAAGTTATCAAGTGTATTAAAATTTATCACGAGGAAAGATGCAAATGGCAAACAATTTACCGATGCAATTCCTCGGTCCAGCACTAAATGGTAGATAAGAATAAGGATGACGTTTCTGGATTTTCTCAGGCAAAAATCTATCCGGATCAAATACATCTGGATTTGGCCAAATATTGGGATCTCTGTGAACTCCCCAAATATTAAGATGCAAAATCGTTCCGGCAGGCACAACATATGAATCTGGAAAGCGTATTATAATATTAGTTGCAATTTACAAAAATAAGTTTCTTTTCAAAAATAAAATGTACATTAATTTTTTTATAATGTTAGAGCAATTAAACATTATTTTAAAATTATTTTATATTTCATCTATATATTTTCCGTAAACATGATTGAAAATATAAAATTGTGACATGATCGAAAATATATATATAGAATAAAATGATTAATTACGTAATTTTACATCTTCTGTTGTTGTTCGTGATATTAAAAACACACTCGGGTACAAACGTAGTGTCTCCTTTAAACATCTGTCTAAATAGAATAAATTTTGCAACGATTTTATGGTAAGTTTTCCTCCGTTTTCCTGCATCACGGTATCAACTTCAGCCCTCACACGTTCCTATGTCATCAATAATAATTAAAATGCATTTTTTACAAACATAGATCATAGATATGAAAAAAATGTTATATTAAATAAAATTTTATATTTATTTTAATGTTGTTTTAATTTTTTCAGAACATATTATATAAAGAAGAAATATGCGTCAAATGCTTAATATTTGTATTACTTTGAATCAAAATTAGAATAAAATTATTATATCTCAATATAATAAAAGAAAAATACCTGGATATCTTTATGTTCGGCTAATAGTAATAAGGTAAAGACTATACCCATTGCTGTAGTATCATGACCCTGTAATTATGATTATATTGTATTGTTATATGTATTTAGATAATATGTACAAAAAGTTAATTAAGCATTACCAATACATACTTCAAACATAAATGTATCAATTTCTTCTTTGATATCAGAATCGGTCACGGAACCTTGTCGAGATGCTAATATTAAAAGATCCAACATGGCAAGTCGTTTCTTTTTATCTATAGTAATAAAAAAACGTATTAGCGTTAAACGCTATAATTTTAACGCTAATAATTTTTGCATGTGGTATATTTTAATTATATATTATATTAATTATACTATATGTATTTTAAAAGTATTAAAATATTCGTTTAAAAGTATTAAAATTATATTATATATAATAATAAAAAAATAACAAATAATATAATTGAAAAACAAACAACCAATTCAATCTTTCGGCTCTGCTAAAATTTTATAATAAGATAATCAAGTCTCAGTACGAGTTAACAATCAGAACCAAAGCGCAGTTTATAATTAAAATTTAATTAAAATTTAATTTCTATTTAAAACATTAACGCCTCATAAACTGCGCCTTGGTTCTGATTGCTAACTTTTACTGAGACTTGATTATTTTATTATAATAATAAAAAAAGTTACGGTAAGTATATTTTAAATTATTACATGTGATTATGTATTCGACATAAATTCTAAAAGGATGATTTGTAAAATTTATATTGCGCAATCCTATTCATACATACTTCCAAAAACTTCTATATCATCAATTTCCGCCTTAATATTCTCAAGATTTTTCAAGAATCGATCATTCGTGCGGTCGTGATAAAGTTTTCTTTCTGAGATGATCTAAACAATATTAAATTTTTTTTAGTAATTAGGAATATCGAACAGTTTTATAATTATAAATATAATAGCATGAGTTATTAAGATTTGTGATTAATCGCGTAATCTTGCGATAGAAAAATTGAGAAATTTATTGTAATTTTACATAAAGAAGAGAGTTTAAAAATCTTAATTAACATGCTTTATAACGTACTTTTTCTGTAAATTTATGTAATATTTTCAAGATCCTTCTTTGCTTAAATCCAGATAAAGACAATGAAAATATCCAAAAGTTATGAATCCAAGGTCTCAGCAGTCTAAATCGTAATCCACACATACAATAAGATTATTATAATTCTAATAATAATATAATCTTATTATTTTTTATTATTTTAAATTTTATTTAAAGTCATCGTAAAATCTTTAAGTGATTCTTAAATAGTCATGGATTGTGGGTAATACCCAGTGAGAAATGATGGTCGAATCGACGTCGACTTATTATCGAATCGATGTCAAATTCGTCGAATCGATGACGATTCAACCAATCATTTCTCACTGAGTAGAAGTAAAATTTTAAAAACTATTTATGTAACAAAAAAATATGCATCACTTTTTAACAAAACGTTTTACTTTATTTCTAATTATAATTTTTTATGGAAGACTACTTATCTTTAGATATTTAATTACGTACAATTTATTTTACTTAAATGTAATTGTTCCAAGAACTTTTCAACCATTTTTCAACATTATAAAGACTGAACAATTTCTATAATTTGAAATAAAAAATTATATATATATATATATATTTAAATTACCTATGAACTACTAATTCGATTATTTCGTGAATCGTTTTTCGATACTGTTGCTGAAACTCGCCCAAATTTTTCAAAGAAACGCCCATGGCAGTTTCTGCAAGTGCATTATTATATAAAATCGAAAAGACGATCAAAGATTGTTTTCTGATAATAAGGAGTAGCTTTTATATAAAAAATCAATAATATTATTTATCTCTATTGTAATATTATACTTTGTAGCATTAATTAAGGAAGAAATTTTCTTCTTATCTTTTAAGCCCTAGTTTTTATTTTTAATTAATCTTCATATATAAAGACAAGAACATTGTAAAAATCTTACCGCATATCGCATTTAATGTATATTCACTAATAAATGGTACTAAATCTTTTACAACAGTTCCTTCGGCATCCTTCAAAGATTTTGTCATGCATTCGCCCTCCGTAATTAAAACCTCAACAAACTGATTTAATATATTGAAATGAAACGCAGGTGTCAATACCTTTCGTCGCGATTGCCACTTAGCACCTACTCAAGACAAAAATAAGAAAATAATAACGTAAAATTGTCTGATAAAAACGATAAGATATAAAATTACTATCTCTCAATTTTAAAGTTTACCAACAGACCAATCCTTCAACATTATTAATTTTCTTAAATATATTTTTTTATATTGCAATTTTTCATAATTCTTTAAACTTTGTTCTCATGAAATTTTTCTAGTGAACGGTAGTATTATAATTTTAATTATTCTATAATTAAAACTTTATGGATTGACAGATAGAAAATAAACTAAAATTTATTTAAAATCTGTAATGCGACTATTTGATTTAATTGTAAAATATCTTGTTACTTTAGATAATATATATATGTATCATGGCGAAATTATTCTGCAATATAATTACCTTTTCAAATATCTAAATTTATTAATATACGATGAAATTGTGTAAGTATACCGTTCAGAAAAATATTCAAATCTAATTGAAATATTATTTGACTTTTTAAAACAGACCTAAGTATATTATATCAAACTGGAATTGTATAGTACGTATCCTTATGTGTTAATTAACGTCATTACATTACCTGTGCTAGTAAGAAGTCCTGTGCCGAGCCAAGGATGTAATATCTCATAAACAATATTATTTTTCTGCATGTGTTTGGTACCACTTAATATCGTCTGAAATCATCGAAAATGTATTCAGCAGATAATTTATTAATTGCAATTCAAATTATTATTTAATCTCGATTTTTTTTTAAAAGAACTTTGTTTACGTTTATTTAATTCTTTTACATTTGTTATCAAAATTTTTTGGTGATACAGAATAATGCAAAATTCCTAAATCTATCTAAATATATAGAAATGATTAGTTTGCTTTAATGAAAGAATTGAATTTCTCTTATTACCTCTAAATCATCTGGATGGCGAATGGATACAATAGGATGGAACATAATCCAAACTTTGAGAATGGGATAATACTCAGGCATACTAGGTATCGTACAAAGCAACTTCCATTGATCCTCTAAAAAATATGTTATAAATACAGCTACCAAAATTGTAGTGGTATTAATTTTATCGTTATTTTCCATATTACTAAACCTCGTGCAGATATTTAAAAATTAATTAATAATAATTAAGAAAATAAATTGCAGAGAAATACTGACTATAATTTGAATAATTATTTAATATATAATAAGCATGCACTAATATTGGTAATTATCTACTTAAAAGCAGACAATTTATTAATTCAACTATTGCATGTATATGCGCTTAAATGACGAATCGTGTGTTAATTAAAGTAAGTAATTAAAAATTGTGTACTTGCCTGCAGAAACATGGAATTGAATTGCATTGCCTATAATTGGATCAATCGGTGGTCCTGGTATAAGATTAATCAATCGGCCCTTTTTTCCATGATGCACGTAATAATTATACACCAATAAAATAAAAATGGATAATAACAATATAGTGATAAACATCGTTTCTTTTTTGACGTAATATCTTTTACGTAATTCAACTCAATATTCTTCAGGTTACTGTTTCTCTGATTTTTGTACTGCAAATTCTTGTCACAAAATAAATAATATTTATTTTACCACAAAACTTACACTTTTCTTTTATATTTTAAATATTATTAATATGTTTTTTTTTAATAATAAGTTAAATATAGATGAACACACATAAAATACATTTTAAATCATGGGCACAAAATGGAAGAAGGGAACACTATACACAAACCAACAGAAACGAAACACTGTATATTTGAATTTGCAGAGGAAGCGACTGAAGAGGCACAATTAAGTTAGTGTCGAAACGTCTCGCGTAATTTAATTATATAAGTAAATCTGATTTTGGAATTCACGATGTTAATTGCAACAGCTTTGCAACAAAATAATTTTATATTACTTGCTCGTTAAGGCCTTCAAATAAATCTTACTATTTTATTACACGAGCTTTTAAATTTAATTAACAATTTTATTAATCAATACATGATACCGTTTTTTGACGAATCAATTTAAACACCAATTAAATGATTAAAATAAAGTCACAAATCACATCAAGCACATTGTATATGTACATCTGTCAACGGAACATCTTCGCGAAGTACTAATGGAAATATAAATAATTTATATTTATATAGTCATTTTCAATTTAAGCGTTTTCAAAAGGTAATGCAAGGAATCTTCGTAAAATACTGAGCTGACTTCAAGATCGTAAATCAAAGTTGTATCTTAATCAGCAAAACAAATTTTATCTTGATTGAAGAATATATAGATAACAATATATTTATTTAAGAAAATAAGAATAATTGATTATTTAAAAACAATTATAAAAATCTTTGAACAAACTTTTTAGACGACCAGACTAGGCAAAAAATGTTAATTTATTAAATCTTCCTCATAACGTTTCGACCTTTGGTTTAAGTTCTTATCAAATGAATATTTCAAACTCTATTCATAGATCTCTTAGCAACAATATACGATTAATTTATCAAAAAAAAAAAAAAAAAATTATCATGCAAATTATCACTCGGAAAAACTTATTGTGCAATATAATATTGCTAAAGTGTATATTTTATTGTTTAAATGGGAGAGCCCTTTCTTCTTGCAAAAATAACAATACCACTTTTGAAAATTATATTTATTAAGAAAATAATCAATTGTATAAAATTTCATTCTATTGATTAACATATTTTTTTTATTGACAGATTTTTTAAATATTAAAAATATTTTATAATAAAGATTTGAAACCAAATGGATGGTCTTACATGTATATTTTCACGATTGAATTTACAAATACAATATATATTTTATTGAACATATAATATGTGTAATGATTTTTCTTTCATTTTTACAATACATCAATTTCTTACATTTACGTGGTATTTGTGTTAGTTTCAAATGACTGTTTGCCTTCGATTGGAACGAATTTTACACGAACCGGATGTGAAGGGCGAATTATTAGATCAGCCTTTAGCCGGATATCCTTTATATTATCTACTGGTTCCAAGTAGAAATTGTGCACCAAAGGAGCTATCATAGCCTTCATCTCCAGCATGGCGAATCGTTGACCTACAATTAAAAGTGTATCAAAAGTTATCAAGTGTATTAAAATTTATCACGAGGAAAGATGCAAATGGCAAACAATTTACCGATGCAATTCCTCGGTCCAGCACTAAATGGTAGATAAGAATAAGGATGACGTTTCTGGATTTTCTCAGGCAAAAATCTATCCGGATCAAATACATCTGGATTTGGCCAAATATTGGGATCTCTGTGAACTCCCCAAATATTAAGATGCAAAATCGTTCCGGCAGGCACAACATATGAATCTGGAAAGCGTATTATAATATTAGTTGCAATTTGCAAAAATAAGTTTCTTTTCGAAAAATAAAATGTACATTAATATTTTTATAATGTTAGAGCAATTAAACATTATTTTAAAATTATTTTATATTTCATCTATATATTTTCCGTAAACATGATTGAAAATATAAAATTGTGACATGATCGAAAATATATATATAGAATAAAATGATTAATTACGTAATTTTACATCTTCCGCTGCTGTTCGTGATATTAAAAACACACTCGGGTACAAACGTAGTGTCTCCTTTAAACATCTGTCTAAATATAATAAATTTTGCAACGATTTCATGGTAAGTTTTCCTCCGTTTTTCTGCATCACGGTATCAACTTCAGCCCTCACACGTTCCTATGTCATCAATAATAATTAAAATGCATTTTTTACAAACATAGATCATAGATATGAAAAAAATGTTATATTAAATAAAATTTTATATTTATTTTAATGTTGTTTTAATTTTTTCAGAACATATTATATAAAGAAGAAATATGCGTCAAATGCTTAATATTTGTATTACTTTGAATCAAAATTAGAATAAAATTATTATATCTCAATATAATAAAAGAAAAACACCTGGATATCTTTATGTTCGGCTAATAGTAATAAGGTAAAGACTATACCCATTGCTGTAGTATCATGACCCTGTAATTATGATTATATTGTATTGTTATATGTATTTAGATAATATGTACAAAAAGTTAATTAAGCATTACCAATACATACTTCAAACATAAATGTATCAATTTCTTCTTTGATATCAGAATCGGTCAAGGAACCTTGTCGAGATGCTAATATTAAAAGATCCAACATGGCAAGTCGTTTCTTTTTATCTATAGTAATAAAAAAACGTATTAGCGTTAAACGCTATAATTTTAACGCTAATAATTTTTGCATGTGGTATATTTTAATTATATATTATATTAATTATACTATATGTATTTTTTCGTTTAAAAGTATTAAAATTATATTATATATAATAATAAAAAAATAACAAATAATATAATTGAAAAACAAACAACCAATTCAATCTTTCGGCTCTGCTAAAATTTTATAATAAGATAATCAAGTCTCAGTACGAGTTAACAATCAGAACCAAGGCGCAGTTTATAATTAAAATTTAATTAAAATTTAATTTCTATTTGAAACATTAACGTCTCATAAACTGCGCCTTGGTTCTGATTGCTAACTTTTACTGAGACTTGATTATTTTATTATAATAATAAAAAAAGTTACGGTAAGTATATTTTGAATTATTACATGTGATTATGTATTCGACATAAATTCTAAAAGGATGATTTGTAAAATTTATATTGCGCAATCCTATGCATACATACTTCCAAAAACTTCTATATCATCAATTTCCGCCTTATTATTCTCAAGATTTTTCAAGAATCGATCATTCGTGCGGTCGTGATAAAGTTTTCTTTCTGAGATGATCTAAACAATATTAAATTTTTTTTTAGTAATTAGGAATATCGAACAGTTTTATAATTATAAATATAATAGCATGAGTTATTAAGATTTGTGATTAATCGCGTAATCTTGCGATAGAAAAATTGAGAAATTTATTGTAATTTTACATAAAGAAGAGAGTTTGAAAAATCTTAATTAACATGCTTTATAACGTACTTTTTCTGTAAATTTATGTAATATTTTCAAGATCCTTCTTTGCTTAAATCCAGATAAAGACAATGAAAATATCCAAAAGTTATGAATCCAAGGTCTCAGCAGTCTAAATCGTAATCCACAATAAGATTATTATAATTCTAATAATAATATAATCTTATTATTTTTTATTATTTTAAATTTTATTTAAAGCCATCGTAAAATCTTTAAGTGATTTTTAAATAGTCATGGATTGTGGGTAATACCCAGTGAGAAATGATGGTCGAATCGACGTCGACTTATTATCGAATCGATGTCAAATTCGTCGAATCGATGACGATTCAACCAATCATTTCTCACTGAGTAGAAGTAAAATTTTAAAAACTATTTATGTAACAAAAAAATATGCATTACTTTTTAACAAAACGTTTTACTTTATTTCTAATTATAATTTTTTATGGAAGACTACTTATCTTTAGATATTTAATTACGTACAATTTATTTTACTTAAATGTAATTGTTCCAAGAATCTAACTTTTCAACCATTTTTCAACATTATAAAGACTGAACAATTTCTATAATTTGAAATAAAAAATTAATTGAAGCGCGCACACAATATACATTTTGATTGCTAATTATTGTCTCTTAAACCCATTGAAATTTATAACTAATTATTTATCTTCCAGGACTATTCAATAATTACTCTATTTCTAAAAGATATAGTTATTTAAAAAAAATTATAACTCAAATAATTATAAATATACATTATTTTATAATATAATATTATATCTAAATATATATATATATTATATATATATTATATATATATATAAATATATATATATATATATATTTAAATTACCTATGAACTACTAATTCGATTATTTCGTGAATCGCGTTTCGATACTGTTGCTGAAACTCGCCCAAATTTTTCAAAGAAACGCCCATGGCAGTTTCTGCAAGTGCATTATTATATAAATTAAAAAGAAAATCGGTAATAGTTTTTAGGTAAATAGAGGTAGTTTTTGTATAAAAAAACATCAATAATATTACTTATCTTTATTGTAATATTACTTTGTAGCATTGATTAAAGAACAAATTTTCTTCTTATTTTTTAAACACTAATTTTTATTTTTAATTAAATCTTCATATATAAAAAAACGAACATTTATAAAAATCTTACCGCATATCGCATTTAATGTATATTCACTAATAAATGGTACTAAATCTTTTACAACAGTTTCTTCGGCATCCTTCAAAGATTTTGTCATGCATTCGCCCTCCTTAATTAAAACCTCAACAAACTGATTTAATATATTGAAATGAAACGCAGGTGTCAATACCTTTCGTCGCGATTGCCACTTAGCACCTACTCAAGACAAAAATAATAAAATAACAACGTGAAATTGTCTGATAAAAATGATAAGATATAAAATTACTATCTCTCTCAATTTTAAAGTTTACCAACAGACCAATCCTTCAACATTATTAATTTTCTTAAATATATTTTTTTATATTGCAATTTTTTTATAATTCTTTAAACTTTGTTCTCATGAAATTTTTCTAGTGAACGGTATTATTATAATTTTAATTATTCTATAATTAAAACTTTATGGATTGACAGATAGAAAATAAACTAAAATTTATTTAAAATCTGTAATGCGACTATTTGATTTAATTGTGAAATATCTTGTTACTTGAGAATATATATATGTATCATGGCGAAATTATTCTGCAATATATCTACCTTTTCAAATATCTAAATTTATTAATATACGATGAAATTGTGTAAGTATACCGTTCAGAAAAATATTCAAATCTAATTGAAATATTATTTGACTTTTTAAAACAGACTTAAGTATATTATATCAAACTGGAATTGTATATTACGTATCCTTATGTGTTAATTAACGTCATTACATTACCTGTGCTAGTAAGAAGTCCTGTGGCGAGCCAAGGATGTAACGCCTCATACATACGACTTTTCTCAATATGTTTGGTGCCACTTAATATCGTCTGAAATCATCGAAAATGTATTCAGCAGATAATTTATTAATTGCAATTCGAATTATTATTTAATCTCGATTTTTTTTTAAAGGAACTTTGTTTACGTTTATTTAATTCTTTTACATTTGTTATCAAAATTTTTTGGTGATACAGAATAATGCAAGATTCCTAAATCTATCTAAATATATAGAAATGATTAGTTTGCTTTAATGAAAGAATTGCATTTCTCTTATTACCTCTAAATCATCTGGATGGCGAATGGATACAATGGGATGGAACATAATCCAAACTTTGAGAATGGGATAATACTCAGGCATACTAGGTATCGTACAAAGCAACTTCCATTGATCCTCTAAAAAATATGTTATAAATACAGCTACCAAAATTGTAGTGGTATTAATTTTATCGTTATTTTCCATATTACTGAACCTTGTGCAGATATTTAAAAATTAATTAATAATAATTAAGAAAATGAATTGCAGAGAAATACTGGCTATAATTTGAATAATTATTTAATATATAATAAGCATGCACTAATATTGGTAATTATCTACTTAAAAGCAGACAATTTATTAATTCAACTATTGCATGTATATGCGCTTAAATGACGAATCGTGTGTTAATTAAAGTAAGTAATTAAAAATTGTGTACTTGCCTGCAGAAACATGGAATTGAATTGCATTGCCTATAATTGGATCAATCGGTGGTCCTGGTATAAGATTAATCAATCGACCGTTTTTTCCATAATGCACATAATAGTTATACACTAATAAAATAAAAATAGATAATAACAATATAATGATAAACATTGTTTTTTTTTTACGTAATATCTTTCACTTAATTTAGCTTAATCTTCTTCAGGCACCTGTTTTTCTAATTTTTGGATTACAATTTCGTGGCACAAAATAAATAATATTTATTTTATCACAAAACTTACACTTTTTCTTAATATTTTACATATTTTAATTAATATGTTCTTTTTTATTATCTACTATAAGACAAAGGAATATAATATAATAAATTAAATATAGACGAACACACATAGATTACATTTTAAATTATGCACATCAAACGGAAGAAGGAATTTCCAATAAAAACAGAACACTATATATTTGAATTTGAAGAGGAAGCAACTGAGCAAAAGACACAAATTAGTGCCGAAACGTCTTGCGTTATTTAATTAATATATATGTAAATCTGATTTTGGAATTCGCAATATGAATTGTAACAGCTTCGTAACAAAGATATTTTTTATTACTTGCTCGTTAAGGCCTTCAAATGAATCTTATTATTTGATAACACGAGTTTAAATTTAATTGACAATCTATTATCTATATTACTTGATAGTGTTTCTGACAATCAAGTTAAACTGCAATCAAATGATTAAAATAAAGTCACAAATCACATCAAGCAGATATTATATAAGTACACGTGCCAGCAAAACATCTTCGCAAAATACTGACAATGCAAATCAGAAATTTTTATATAAATATAGCCGTCTTCAACTCAAGTGCGTATAAGAAGAAATCAGAGTTGTCTTTTATTAAACAAAAGATTTTATCTTGATTGAAGACCAGATAATATGCAATACATATTTATTTAAGGAAGAAAGAATAATTGATTATTTGATATGTGGTTCGAGATTTAAAATAAAGTCACAAATCACATCAAGCACACATTGTATATGTACATCTGCCAACGGAACATCTTCGCGAAGTACTAATGGAAGTATAAATCAATAATTGATATTTATATAATCATCTTCAACTTAAGCGTTTTCAAAAGGTAATGCAAGGAATCTTCGTGAAATACTGAGCGAAATGTAAATAAAAATCTATATTGACAGCTGACTTCAACTCAAGATTGTATCATAAATTAAAGTTGTATCTTAATCAGCAAAACAAATTTTATCTTGATTGAAGACCAAATAACAATATATTTATTTAAGAAAGTAAGAATAAATTGTTATTAAAAAATGTGGCTTGAGATTTAAAATATATTGATTTAAAATAGTGATTTTTTTACAAAAATAAAAATTCCTGTTTGTACAATTAAGTTGTTTGTATGTGAACTTATCAATCAACTAATTATCAAGCCATGATTTAACAGTAGGATTAATTTTTGATGAAATACGTTGAATCGGACCTTTCTTTACACTTCTATACGTAGTTTTATCATTTAAAACTGTAATTATTTTACTAATGTAATCAGTTTTATTCATAATAACCGTAGTTTGACACTTATCCGCTTTCGTTACTAGCAAGTCCTTATTAAATTGTAAAAATCTTTGACATTGTGAGTATCTGTTTGTAAAAAACCTGTCTACATGACTGATGTGTCTATTGTTGCTAAGAGATCTATGAATAGAGTTTGAAATATTCATTTGATAAGGACCTAAACCAAAGGTCGAAACGTTATGAAGAAGGTGTAATAAATTAAAATTTTTTGCTCAGTTTGGTCGTCTAAAAAGTTTTTTCAAAGATTTTTATCCTTGTGATTATATTTACTGGCGCTTTACGAAATATTCTTCTTTTCTTAGTGATTTTTTCGTTAAAAATTTTTTTTAAATCAAGATATATGTATGCATATGTATATATATAATAATGATAGAGAAAAAGAAAAAGTTTACATGTGTTTGACAAATTTTTACCAAAAAATGTATATGATCAACCATTTTAACGCTCCATCAAAATTGGTAAGATTTATTAGATAAAAACGATAATATATGTGTTTAATTTTTTGATTTTCATGAATTTTAATGTTGTAAAAGTCGATTTTTTCAAAGATAATTTTACATTACGGAAAATGAAGAAATATATTATATACTAGCTTTTTCGGCCTGCTAGTTTCCCCAACACTGACCCCGCTATTATTAGTTTTTACACAATTTTTCATTTTACAAAACCTCTTTGTATACAACATTTGTCGTAAAAGATTTCGGATTTCCTTTAATGTTGCAAATTTTTCGGGGTGTGCGACGATGTGGTTTTTAAGTACTCTTTAAATTTTTTAAGTCTGTCTGTCTGATCGCGAACTACTTACACATTTATGAACTGATTTTCGTGAAACAGGTATTAAAATTTTTTTTATCTTTTATTATTTTTTTATTTTTTCATGTGGACCAATTTTCGTGAAACATGTACCAAAATGTTTTTTTTATCTTTTATTATTAATTTTTTTTATTTTTTGCTGATGTTCCCACCGCTGATCGCTGAATATCGCGCCGATTGTTAATAAACAACCCCCTTAACGATGATCTCTCTGAGACCGATTTCAAGAAAATCGATGAATAAATGAATGAATGCGTAGAAAAATTCACATTAATATGCGATTGCGTGGGTTTATAAATTTTGAAAATTTTAATACCAATTTCGAAACCATGCATCGATCAATAAATTTGTGAATACGTGGGTGGGTGGAAACTTAAAAAAAAACCACATCCTCAAACTCCCCGAAAAATTAGCAACATTTTAGTATCAAATTTGAAAAATCGGTCCATAATAATGCAATTGCGTGGGTGGGGGTGTAAAACTTAAAAAAAAACACATAACATCCATCCCCGAAAAGTTTGCAACATTTTGGTACATGTTTCACAAAAATCGGTCTATAAATGTGAAAGTAGTTCGCGGTCAGACAGACGGTGCTTGTATCTATAGAGGATATAGATTTATTTTGATCTAGATGACAAATTCAAAATTTATTAATATCGGAAGGTAAAACTTTTTTTCATTGGAGAAGCCTCATATCTCTCTCCCTTTTTTAATTATTAATTATAAATTGTAAATTTTTAATTAATTAAAACACATGAGAGTTCGATGATGTATGAGAAACAATAATAAAATCTCGATTTGCATAGCATTTATCTAATTCATAGAGTCTATTATCTTATTAGTTTATTACACAATACTTTATAGTCTAATACTCATTTCAGTGAGACCAAAATGCAACTAGTATTTAATCATTATCTTATCATATATTATAATAGCAGAATATTTCCAGTAAACATTAAGTAACAATTATATAACTGTTAGTTATAATTACCCACTTAATATAATAACACACGTGTTATATTGCATTTATATTGTTGAGTGGAAAATTATAACTCACAGTTATATAATTGTTACTAGATGTTTGCTGGGTTCTAAGAGAGCAAAGTTCGCTAAATATTAATTTTTGCATCTTTATATGTTATCAATCTTGTACAGACGATTAATTTATCAAAAAAAAAAAAGGAATTATCATGCAAATTATCACTCGGAAAAACTTATTGTGCAATATAATATTGCTAAAGTGTATATTTTATTGTTTAAATGGGAGAGCCCTTTCTTCTTGCAAAAATAACAATACCACTTTTGAAAATTATGTTTATTAAGAAAATAATCAATTGTATAAAATTTCATTCTTTTGATTAACATATTTTTTTTATTGACAGATTTTTTAAATATTAAAAATATTTTATAATAAAGATTTGAAACCAAATGGATGGTCTTACATGTATATTTTCACGATTAAATTTACAAATACAATATATATTTTATTGAACATATAATATGTGTAATGATTTTTCTTTCATTTTTACAATACGTCAATTTCTTACATTTACGTGGTATTTGTGTTAGTTTCAAATGACTGTTTGCCTTCGATTGGAACGAATTTTACACGAACCGGATGAGAAGGACGAATTATTATATCGGCCTTCAGCCGGATATCCTTTATATTATCTACTGGTTCGAAGTAGAAATTGTGCACCAAAGGAACTATCATAGCCTTCAACTCCAGCATGGCGAATCGTTGACCTACAATTAAAAGTGTATCAAAAGTTATCAAGTGTATTAAAATTTATCACGAGGAAAGATGCAAATGGCAAACAATTTACCGATGCAATTTCTCGGTCCAGCACTAAATGGTAGATAAGAATAAGGATGACGTTTCTGGATTTTCTCAGGCAAAAACCTATCCGGATCAAATACATCTGGATTTGGCCAGAAATTAGGATCTCTGTGAACTCCCCAGATATTAAGATGCAAAATTGTTCCGGCAGGTACAACATATGAATCTGGAAAGCGTATTATAATATTACATTTGCAATTTGCAAAAATAAGCTTCTTTTCGAAAAATGTAATGTACATTAATGTTTTTGAAATGTTTAAGCAATTAAATATTATTTTAAAATTATTTTACATTTGATCTATATATTTTTCGTGCGCATATATGTGACGTAATCGAAAATATATGTATAAAATGAAATGATTAATTACGTAATTTTACGTCTTCCGCTGCTGCTCGTGATATTAAAAACACACTCGGATACAAACGCAGTGCTTCCTTTATACATCTATCTAAATATAATAAATTTTGCAACGATTTCATGGTAAGTTTTCCTTCGTTTTCCTGCATCATGGTATTGACTTCAGCTCTCACACGTTCCTATGTCATCAATAATAATTAAAATGCATTTTTTACATACATATAGATCATAGATATGAAAAAAATGTTATATTAAATAAAATTTTATATTTATTTTAATGTTGTTTTAATTTTTCAGGACGTATTATATAAAAAAAATATGCGACAAATATTAAATATTTATATTACTTTGAATAAAAATTAGAATAATATTATTATATCTCAATATAATAATAACGAAAGAAAAATACCTGAATATCTTTATGTTCAGCTAGTAGTAATAAAGTAAAAGTTATAGCCATCGCTGTAGTATCATGACCCTGTAATTATGATCATATGTATTGTTATATAAGAATTCAGATAATGTGTACAAAAATTAATTAAGCATTATCAATACATACTTCAAACATAAACGTATCAATTTCTTCTCTGATATCGGAATCAGTCAAAGAACCTTGTCGAGATTCCAATATTAAAAGATCCAACATGGCAAGTCGCTTTTTTTTAGCTAGAAATAAAAAACGTATTAGCGTCAAACGCTATAATTTTAACACTAATAATTTTTGAATGTGATATTTTAATTATATATTATATTATAATTATACTATATATATTTTCTCGTTTAAAATTATTAAAATTATATTATATATAATAATAATAAAATTTTACGGTAAGTATATTTTGAATTATTACGTGTGATTATGTATTCGACATAAATTCTAGAAGGATGATTTGTAAAATTTATATTGCGCAGTCAAACTAGAAACTCTGATTCTATTCATACATACTTCCAATTACTTCTATATCATCAATCTCCGCTTTATTATTTTCAAGATTTTTCAAGTACTGATCATTCGTGCGATCGTGATAAAGTTTTCTTTCTGCAATGATCTAAACGAGATTAAATTTTTTTTAGTAATGACCAATAGCGGAACAGTCTTATCGTCATACATATATACATATAATCACAGAAAAAACAGTATCTTGAAAGAATACAAATATGCCTTGATTCAAGTATATTTTATTCTTATAATAGCACCAAATATAAATAATTTTGGATAAAGGATAATTTATCCTTAAAACAAAGTGCAAAATATTCTTGGTTGAAGCTGAAATTTACTTATAAATATTGCAAGGACAAGCGACAAGTGAGCATCGGATATAAGCGGTACTTTCAAGTATATATAATAATTCTTAGTTCAAATGTGACTATAAGTTTGTTTTTACCATATGCGATTTGTAAAACAAGAATATATCTTAAGGATAAAATATACTTCACACAAACTTATTTATTATTAAGGCAAATAAAAATTTTTGATTATAAGGAGCATTCTATGCTTAAATCAATCAAATAGCGTTCAAGAATAAAAATATACTTGAATCAAGGATTCCTTTTTTTCTGTGATAGCATGAATTATTAATTTTTATGATTAATCACGTAATCTTGCAATAGCAAGATTGAAAATAAAAATTTAAAGTGTAAGACAGGCAATAAGAGCCAAATCGCGGATGACAGTGCGTTATCCCAACGAAACTAAAATTTTTTCCGTTAGAATTAAATACCTGTGCACAAGGCATCAAATTTTACTTGGTCATGGCCAAGATTTAAAATTGGAATAATCTCTACAAGAGATTTACTTTTACACTTTAAATTTATATTGATATTACAGAGCCTTGTTAAACTCTTACAAGAATGAAAAATTTATTTTAATTTTATAATACATAAAGATGAAAATTCAAAGGATTTTAGTTAATAAATGCTGCATAACGTACTTTTTCCGTAAAGTTATGCAATATTTTCAAGGTCCTTTGTTGTTTAAATCCACGTGTATACAATATGTATATCCAAGTGTAATGCATCCAAGGTCTTAGTAGTCTAAATCGTAATTCAATAAGATCATTATAATTTCAATAACAATGTAATCTTATTAATTTTTTTCTACTTTAAGTTTTATTTAATAAGCCATCGTAAAATCTTAGAGTAATTTTTAAATAGTCATAAATTGTGAGAAATAAAAGTAAAATTTCAAAAACTATTTATGTAACGATGAAAAAGTAAATGCTAAATCTTCTAACAAAACATTTTACTTTATTTGTAATTATAGTTTTTTATGGAAGATAACTTATCTTCAGATATTTAATTGCGTACGATATATTTTACTTAATTGCAATTGTTCGAATAATATAACTTTTTAACAATTTTTTCAACATTTTAAAGATTGGAACAATTTTTAATTTAAAATGAAATTTTATTCGAAGCGCGCATACAATATACATTTTTATTATTAATTATTGTCTCTTAAACCAATTGAATTTTATAACTAATTATTTACTTTTCAGGACTATTCAATAATTACTATTTTCCGAAAGATATCGATATATCAAAATCATAACTCGAATAATTATAAATATTCATATGTATAATTATTTTATATATATATATATACAGGGTGTTTGGTAACAGGTGGGCCAAAATGTAAGGAGTGATTCTACATGATAAAATAAGACAAAAATCAAGAATGACAAAATTGCGTTCGAGACTTGGTTTATTAATTATAAATATTTTACATTTTGCAAAATATACATCAACTGTTACGATGTAAGTTTTTGTATACTTATGCGTCACAGTCTATTTTGACGGCGACTCTACCGATGTACCTTACGCACGCAAAATATCGGAAAATTGCCGTGCGTCAGGCGCCCTTAATGCGAAGTTTAAAATATTTATAATTAATAAACAAAGTCTCGGACGCAATTTTGTCATTCTTGATTTTCGTCTTATTTTATCATGTAGAACCACTCCTTACATTTTGGCCCACCTGTTGCCAAACACCCTGTATATATATATATATATATATATATATATATATATATATATATATATATATATTACCTATAAACTAGTATTTCAATTGCATCGTGAATCGCGTTTCGATACTGTTGCTGAAACTCGCCCAAATTTTTCAAAGAAACGCCCATGGCAGTTTCTGCAAGTGCATTATTATATAAAATCGAAAAGACGATCAAAGATTGTTTTCTGATAATAAGGAGTAGCTTTTATATAAAAAATTAATAATATTATTTATCTCTATTGTAATATTATACTTTGTAGCATTAATTAAGGAAGAAATTTTCTTCTTATCTTTTAAGCCCTAGTTTTTATTTTTAATTAATCTTCATATATAAAGACAAGAACATTGTAAAAATCTTACCGCATATCGCATTTAATGTATATTCACTAATAAATGGTACTAAATCTTTTACAACTGTCCCTTCGACATCCTTCAGAGATTTTGTCATGCATTCGCCCTCCTTGATCAAAATCTCAACGAACTGATTTAATATATTGAAATGAAACGCAGGTGTCAATATTTTTCGTCGCGATTGCCACTTAGCACCTACTCAAGACAAAAATAATAAAATAACAACGTGAAATTGTCTGATAAAAATGATAAGATATAAAATTACTATCTCTCTCAATTTTAAAGTTTACCAACAGACCAATCCTTCAACATTATTAATTTTCCTAAATATATTTTTTTATATTGCAATTTTTTCATAATTCTTTAAACTTTGTTCTCATGAAATTTTTCTAGTGAACGGTATTATTATAATTTTAATTATTCTATAATTAAAACTTTATGAATTGACAGATAGAAAGTAAACTAAAATTTATTTAAAATCTGTAATGCGACTATTTGATTTAGTTGTGAAATATCTTGTTACTTGAGAATATATATATGTATCATGGCGAAATTATTCTGCAATATAATTACCTTTTCAAATATCTAAATTTATTAATATACGATGAAATTGTGTAAGTATACCGTTCAGAAAAATATTCAAATCTAATTGAAATATTATTTGACTTTTTAAAACAGACCTAAGTATATTATATCAAACTGGAATTGTATAGTACGTATCCTTATGTGTTAATTAACGTCATTACATTACCTGCGCTAGTAAGAAGTCCTGTGGCGAGCCAAGGATGTAACGCCTCATACATACGACTTTTCTCAATATGTTTGGTGCCACTTAATATCGTCTGAAATCACCGAAAATGTATTCAGCAGATAATTTATTAATCGCATTTCAAATTTCTAATTTTGATTATTATTATCTACGATCCTTTGTTTGTTTTTTTAAGAAACTTTTTAACGTTTATTTTAATAACATTTTTCATCAAATACATTTTTTGATAAAAAATATTAAAAAATGCAGGATTTCTAAATTTAACTGAATACCTAGAATTGAATAATTTGATTTAATAAAAGAATTGAATTGCTCTTATTACCTCTAAATCATCTGGATGACGAATAGATACAACGGGATAGAACACAAACCAGGCTTTGAGAATGGGATAATACTCAGGCATACTAGGTATCGTACAAAGCAACTTCCATTGTTCTTCTGAAAAGTATATTATAAATACCACAATTGTTGTGGGATTAATTTTATCGTTATTTTTATTATTACCGAACCTTTGTGCAGATATTTAAAATGGATGAATAATAATTAAGAAAATGGATTGCAGAGAAATACTGACTAGTTTAAATAATTATTTAATATGCAATAAGCTTGCATTAATATTGATAACTATCTGCTCAAATTAGAGGACTTATTAATTTAACTTTTGCTTGTATGTGCGCACAAATGACGAATCGTATGTTAATTAAGATACGTAATTAAAAATTGTGTACTTGCCTACAGAAATTGAAGTGAATTGAATTGCATTGCCTACAATTGGATGAGTCGGTACTCCTGGTATAAGATTAATCAATCGACCGTTTCTTCCATAATGCACGTAATAGTTATACATCAATAAAATCAAAATTGATAATAATAAAATTATAGTGATATACATTGTTTTTTTTTACGTAATATCTTTCACTTAATTTAGCTTAATCTTCTTCAGGCACCTGTTTTTCTAATTTTTGGATTACAATTTCGTGGCACAAAATAAATAATATTTATTTTATCACAAAACTTACACTTTTTCTTAATATTTTACATATTTTAATTAATATGTTCTTTTTTATTATCTACTATAAGACAAAGGAATATAATAATAAATTAAATATAGACGAACACACATAGATTACATTTTAAATTATGCACATCAAACGGAAGAAGGAATTTCCAATAAAAACAGAACACTATATATTTGAATTTGAAGAGGAAGCAACTGAGCAAAAGACACAAATTAGTGCCGAAACGTCTTGCGTTATTTAATTAATATATATGTAAATCTGATTTTGGAATTCGCAATATGAATTGTAACAGCTTCGTAACAAAGATATTTTTTATTACTTGCTCGTTAAGGCCTTCAAATGAATCTTATTATTTTATAACACGAGTTTAAATTTAATTGACAATCTATTATCTATATTACTTGATAGTGTTCCTGACGATCAAGTTAAACTGCAATCAAATGATTAAAATAAAGTCACAAATCACATCAAGCAGATATTATATAAGTACACGTGCCAGCAAAACATCTTCGCAAAATACTGACAGTGCAAATCAGAAATTTTTATATAAATATAGCCGTCTTCAACTCAAGTGCGTATAAGAAAAAATCAAAGTTGTCTTTTATTAAACAAAACAGATTTTATCTTGATTGAAGACCAGATAATATGCAATACATATTTATTTAAGGAAAAAAGAATAATTGATTATTTGAAATGTGGCTCGAGATTTAAAATATATTGATTTCACTATTTGAAATCAATATACTTTAAATCTCGAGCCACATTTTAAATAAATCAATTATTCTTTCTTTCTTAAATAAATATGTATTGCATGTTATCTGGTCTTCAATTAAGATAAAATCTATTTTCTTTAATAAAAGGCAACTCTGATTTCTTATACGCACTTGAGTTGACTTTTTTCATTTAAAATTATTTTACACGCAATACTTTATAATCTAAATATTTATTCCAGTCAGTATAAAGTTCAATAATTCAGTTATCTAATCATTATTTTACAATGTAATATAATAGCAAAATATTATAGAACAAAGTTCGTTAAATATTAATTTTGCATCTTTATATATTATCAATCTTAAAGAGGCTAGACGATTAATTTATCAAAAAAGAAAAAAAACGAATTGTCACTTCAAAAAACTTATTGTGCAAAATAATATTGCTAAAGTGTATATTTTATTGTTTAAATTGGGAAGGTTTTTCTTCTTGCAAAAATAATATTAACACTTTTGAAAATTATGTTTATTAAAAAAATAATACCAGTTGTATAAAATTATTCTCTTTATTCTTTTGATTAACAAATATTTTCTAAATATTAACAATATTTTATAATAAAGATTTGAAACTACTAAATGGATGATCTTACAAGTATATATAGTTTCTACATGTATATTTTCACGATTAGATTTACACATACAATATATATTTTGTTGAACATATAATATGCGTAATGATTTCTCTTTCATTTCTACAATACATCAATTTCTTACATTTACGTAGACTGTTTGCCTTCGATTGGAACAAATTTTACACGAACCGGGTGAGAAGGACGAATTATTACATCGGCCTTCAGCCGGACATTCTTTACAAGATCTACTGGTTCCAAGTAGAAATTGTGCACCAAAGGAGCTATCATAGCTTTCAACTCTAGCATGGCGAATCGTTGACCTATGATTAGAAATATATCAAAATTTATATTATAATAATTTCAATCAATGCGAGAACTGACATTGCATGTTATTCACCTATGCAGTTCCTTGGTCCTGCGCTGAATGGTAGATAGGAATAAGGATGACGACTCTGGATTTTTTCGGGCAAAAATCTATCCGGATCAAATACGTCTGGATTTGGCCAAAAATTGGGATCTCTATGAACCCCATAAATATGAAGATGTAAAATCGTTCCGGCAGGCACAACATATGAATCTGGAAAGCGTATTATAATATTAGTTGCAATTTGCAAAAAATAAGCTTCTTTTCGAAAAATAAAATGTACATTAATATTCCTAAAATGTTAGAGCAATTTAAACATTATTTTAAACTTATTTTACATTTGATAATACATCACAGAAAAAACAGTATCCTTGAAAGAATGCAAATATGCCTTGATTCAAGTATATTTTATCCTTATAATAGCGCCAAATATGAATAATTTTGGAGAAAGGATGATTTATTCTTAAAACAAAGTGCAAAATATTCTTGGTTGAAATTGAAATTTACTTATAAATATTGCAAGGACAAGCGATAAGTGAGCATCGGATATAAGCGGTACTTTCAAATATATATAATAATTCTAATAGTTCAAATGTGACTAACAATAAGTTTGTTTTTACCATATGCGATTTTTAAAACAAGAATATATCTTAAGGATAAAATATACTTCACACAAACTTATTTATTATTAAGACAAATGAAAATTTGCGATTACAAAGAGCATTCTATGCTTAAATCAATCAAATAGCGTTCAAGAATAAAAATATACTTGAATCAAGGATTCCTTTTTTTTGTGATCTATTCATGTAATGTGACTTGTTCGAGAATATATTATGCAGAAAAAAAGTAATTAATTACGTAATTTGACGTCTTCCGCAGTTTTTCGTGATATTAAAAACACACTCGGATACAAACGTAGTGTTTCCTTTAAACATCTATCTAAATATGATAAATCTTGCAACGATTTCATGGTAAGTTTCCCTCCGTTTTCCTGCATCACGGTATCGACTTCAGCTCTCACACGTTCCTACATAATAATTAAAATTTATTCCTTAATATTCTAGTTTTTATGTAAATATATTGAAATAAATAATAAGGTCCTTAATAAAATTAAATTTTTATTTTTATTTCAGAGACGTTTTAATTTTTTCGCAATATATTGTATAATGATATATATATATATATATATATATATATATATATATATACAGAACAAAATATTATGAATGTTTTCAAAAAATATTTCTAAATATTTCTATAAAATATTGCATAAAAACATTTTTAAATGGTTTTAAAAATATATTTAAAAATAATTAAAAAATTTTGTGTGATAACTTTTTTTTAGAATATTTTTAAAAATGTGTTTTTTTGCGTATTTTAAAAAACTTTTAAAAATGTTTTTAAAAATGTTCTTCTTTATCGCTCAGATAATATTTTCTTAAATATTTGATACATATTTTTGAAATATTAATTTAAATCTATATTCAAAAATATTTCTGAAAATATTTTTGAAACATGAAAAAGCGGACATGGAAACATTTTAAAAATATTTTTGAGAATTATTTGATCTTTTAGGAAATATTAAAAAAAATTTTTTTAATATTTTGTGCTGTATGGGTAAGTACCTGGATATCCTTATGTGCAGCTAATAATAATAAAGCGAAGGTAATACCCATTCCTGTAGTATCATGACCCTGCAATTAGAGTATTATGCTTCGTTTACATTTAAATAATTCTGTAATATAAAAAATATGTTTAAAAATGATAGATTTATACCTCAAACACAAAGGTATCGACTTCCTCTCTAATGTCTGAATCGGACAAATCCTGACGAGATGCCAATAAGAGATCTAACATAGCCAGTCGCTTTTTTTTAACTAGAAAATAAAGAAGACATATTTATCTTATTTTTGCATGTTATACTTATTATCATTTATTACGTTAATCTTATTTAAAAATCAAACTCTGTTTTAAATAATATTAATTGAATCTTACGCAGACATATTTTGCATCATTACGTCTAATTATGTGTTTAATGTAAATACTACACAAGCATAATTGATAATATTGCAATAAGATATATTGCATACTCAAACTTAAATTAGAAAAAATCTCTCGATTCTTACGTACTTCCAAATACCTCATCTGTCTCCATTTCTTTGTCATTTTCAAGGTCTTTTAAGTATCGATTATTCGTGCGTTCGTGATAATGTTTTCTTTCAGCAATGATCTACACGATATTAATTTTTTAAAAATTATGTATCGTATTAAATAATAATACTACATTATCTTATGTATATCATAAATATTAATAGTATAATGTTATTAATATTTAATTGCATAATCTTGCGGAACGAAGATTACAAAATTTATTGTAATTTTATATAGGAGAAAATTTTAGAAGAATCTTAATAATATAATTTATGGCGTACTTTTTCTGTAAATCCATGCAATATTTTCAAAATCTGTTTTTGTTTTCTTGCTTCTGGCGTCAATGCAAATAACAAATTGTGATGGACAAAAGGATTCAACACTCTAAATCGTATATCAATAAGAAAATAGAATTGTTATAATCATATATATATATGTATATATATATATATATATATATTTTTTAAACGAATATTTAAAATAATTATATATATATATATATATATATATATATATATATATATATATAATTATTTTAAATATTCGTTAAGTTACCTATTAACTATTATTTCGATTATCTGATGTATGCCATTTCGATACTGTTGCTGAAATTTGCCAAGTTCTTGCAGTGAGATGCCCATGGAAGTTTCTATAAAAAAATTGTTTATATGTGCACAAAATGGAATATAAGTTGAAAAATATTGCTGAATATTCCTTTGTATATAATATATCGAATATTATATATCTCATACAACATCAATATCAAAAGTGCAGTATAAAATGTGTGTATATGCGAATAAATTCTTTTTCTTTTAAACTAAATTCTTTATCTTTTGAACTATTGCCGTATAAAATGAAATCTTCATACATATAACAGCCCATACAGCACAAAATATTATAAATGTTTTCAAAAAATATTTCTAAATATTTTTATAAAATATTGCATAAAAACATTTTAAAATAATTTTAGAAATGTTTTTAAATAATTGAAAAATTTTGTGTGATAACATTTTTTAGAATATTTTAAAAACTTTTAAAAACGTTCTTCTTCGCTCAAATATTTTCTTAAATAATTGATACATATTTTTGAAATATTAGTTTATATCTATATTCAAAAATAGTTTTTAAACATGATAAAGCGGACATAGAAACATTTTCAAAATATTTTCGAGAATTATTTTATCTTTTAAGAAAATAATTTTTAAAAGATTTTAAAATATTTTGTGCTGTATGAATAATCAGCTTATCAGTATTTCTCTTTTTAATGATATCTGCATTTATAATTATCAAAAATCTGTTTTAACGTGTGTAAATAAAGCTATAGTAACATTAAAATTAATCTTAATACACTGAGAAAAATTTGTTAACTTGATTAAATCATTCAACTAATTATTATTTTGTTAATTGAATATATAAATATATTTAAATTAAATAAACAATATGCAAATTGCATATTATATTTTTTATTATGTTTATCATTATTCAGAATAATAATCTTACCGCATATCGCGTTTAGCGTATGTTCACTAATAAATGGTACTAAATCTTTTACAACTGTTCCACCAGTATCCTTCAAAGACTGTGTCATGCAATCACCCTCCTTGATCAAGATTTCAACAAATTGATTTAATATTTTAAAGTGGAATGTAGGTGTTAATAATTTTCGTCGCGTTTGCCACTTAGTGCCTAAAATATATAAAAACAAAGAATTATATGATATAATACAAATAATGTTATATAAGACATTTTAATGTTTAAGTACCCAATCTTTAAATAATATTAATTGTCTTTAGATTATTTCATCACAAAATTCTTTTATATTCATGCGTAAATCTTCTTTTCTCGAAATTTTTACTTCAGACTTTAACATGAAAATGTCAAAAAATTATTTTAAATCTTCAATCTTCAATCTTACAGCTATTTAAAATTTGCTTACTTTTTGGAAAATTTTTTAATCTCTTAATTATTTTGAGGAGTGTATTATCGCTAAATTATATCAGCAAATTTTTTAAATTTATTAATTTATTAACAAAGTTGTAAAAATCATTCATAGTTGTAAAAGTTCACCGTCTAAAATAATATTCCAATCTATTGTAATTGTAAGATTACGTTCAATTTTCTATAAAGATAGGCCGATTTATAATAGATTGTAATAATAAAGTAATAAGATAATAAAATGCACTTGTATTATAATGTCATTATTTACGTTACCTGTGCTGGTGAGAAGACCTCTGTTTAACCAAGGATGAAACATATCATATATAAGACTTTTCTCGATGTGTTTGGTGTTGCTTAGTATTGTCTGAAATCACCGATAATATGTTAAGATAAAAACATTAACATATTGTGTATATAAAAAAATAAAGCACTCAATTTGTCAGATATATATAAGTGCAGATAAATTATATTAATCGTATCTCGAATTGTTACATGTAACATGTGACTCAATCTCTCAGGTATACAGATACCGAAAATTTTATTAATATCACAAATATTATGTAATCTTAAAAATTGAATGTTTTTCACTTTTTAGATTTTTAAGAAACATTTTTTACCAAACAAAAATCTTTTTATATAAAACAAGAATGCAAAATTCATGAATCTAAATCGTAATGTTTACAGAGAATTAAATTTCATTTTTTCACCTCTAAATCATCTGGATGACGAAGAGAGACAAGGGGAAGGAAGAATCCCCAGATTTTAAGAAAGGGATAATATTTATCAGTGATATCACATAACCGGTTCCACAGGGCCTCTGAGAAATATATTAAAATATATTAAAAAATATATTAAAAATATATTAAAGAAATATATTAAAAATATAGCTACAAAAATTTTTGTCAGATTAATTTTCATTATTATTTTTAATGTGCTTCTTTACACTGTGTGTACTTTTACTTAAGTATACTCTGTTTTAGACTTGTTGGAAACAGACTAATTAAAAAAATGGAAGAATATTATTGCAAAAAAATACTGATAAGCCTGAGCAATTATTATATACAGTATAAGTAATCAACACCCATACAGCACAAAATATTTTTAAAATCTTTTAAAAATATTTCTTAAAAGATAAAAAATTCCCGAAAATATTTTTAAAATGTTTCTATGTCCGCTTTTTCATGTTTAAAAAATAGTTTTGAATATAAATTTAAACTAATATTTTAAAAATATATATCAAATATTTAAAAAAATATTATTTGAGCGATGAAGAAAAACATCTTTAAAAATATTTTTAAAAGTTTTTTAAAATCAGTTAAAAAATATATGTTTTTTAAAATATTCTAGAAAATGTTATCTTAAAAGATTTTTAAATTATTTTAAAATATTCTTAAAACTGTTTAAAAATATTTTTATGCAATATTTTATAGAAATATTTAGAAATATTTTTGAAAACATTTCTAATATTTTGTGCTGTATGGGCATGCAATAATATTGACAGATATTTGTTCAAGAACAGAAGATTTATAAATTTAACTTTTGTATATGCGCATAAATGACAGGTTGTATATTAATTAATATAAATAGATTTGAAATTTTGTACTTACCTGGTGTACCACGTAAATGCAACAAATAGCCAATAATTGGATAGCCTTTTGGTCCGGGTATAAGATTAATGAGTCGTCCTTTTCTTCCATAATGCAAATGATAATAATACGCCAATAAAATAAAAATGAATAATAACAATATATTGAATAACATTTTTTGGCGTGATGTCTTTCACCGTTTTAGCTCAATCTTCTGCTTTTCGTTCCTCTGATCATAAGTGAATATCAAACGAATTATTAATAATGTATTTTAAACATTGATATTATTAATTATTATTTTACAATAGAATCTTATAAAATATTTTTTATACAAATACTGCCGAATACCTGATAACAGATTTTCTGACAACTAAATCAATTTTTTAAAACACCACATAAATGTTTGAAGTAAACTCACAATTCTCGTCGTATATACAATACATGTCAAGATGACAAATCTTTACGAAGTGGCAATAAACATCTGAAATCAATATATATATAATCATTCTGCAATTCAAGAGGACAAAGTCAAAGTTCTATTTTAAGAGGCATGATAATTTCAAGGATAGAGGATGTATCTGTGAAGTATCTGCGATGAGCCAAATATTTAGCAAGACCTATCTCTGAATTGAGATTTGAACTCCCATATCCCTTTACCCCTTTGATGTAGACAAGAAAAATATACTGATCCAAAAAAATCGGCTAAATCGGGAATCGAACCCGAGATACATTCTCTATCCTTGTTATTACGATAAGAGCGTCCATATTACGATAATTTTATTTTGATTCAGATAATTATATAACATTAAAAATGACATTTTTTGAGAAAATAAGAATGATATTAATCATTTAAAAATATACTCGAGATTAAAAATATTGATTTAAATAAAATTTGATTAAAATAACGATATAATTTTCTTTCTCCAGACTCGAGATATCAACACTAATTAATTATTGATGCATAACAAGAAAAAAAATTTATTTTTGCTCACAAATTTTTATTATAAAAATATACATATGATTGAACAACGCTTCGTCAATTCAATAATGATTCAACAAACAGTTTAAATCATTATCTAACAATTATAATGTAACAAATACTAAAATATCAGAGTGGATTGTTTTTACATTAATTATTAATTATAATATGATAATAAGTTTTGCATTGGCACACTTGATATATAATTAATATAATCTAGACGATTAATTTATGTCATTGAAAAATATTTGCATGTCCTGACCTAAATCCTTTAATATTCATAACTTTCAATAGACTAAGCTCTTGATACATGCAACTATCAAAATGTTTTTGTTAAATTATTACTATATATATATATATACATAAGATGCGCTCCGTTTCGTATTGATGTATAATATATATTTTGTTGAACATATAATATGCATAATGATTTTTCTCTCATTTTTAACAATATATGAATTTTTTATATATATAAATTCATGTGATATTTGTGTTAGTTTCAAACAACTTTGTCTTCGATTGGAATGAATTTTACACGAATCGGATGAGAAGGACGAATTACTATATCAACCTTCAGCCGAACATCCTTTACATGATCTACTGGTTCCAAGTAAAAATTGTGTATCAAAGAAACTATCATAGCCTTCAACTCTAGCATACCGAATCGTTGACCTACAATTCAAAAGGTGTCAACATTGATAGATATAAAGAGGAACGAAAATGATGAATAATTCTTACCTATGCAATTCCTCGGCCCGGCACTAAATGGTACATAAGAATAAGGGTGACGATTCTGGATTTTTTCGGGTAAAAATCTATCCGGATCAAAAACTTCCGGATTTGGCCAGAAATTTAGATCTCTGTGAGACCCAAAAATTTGAAGAAATAGAATCGTTCCAGCAGGCACGACATATGATTCTGAAAAGAATATTAAAATTACATGCAATCTACAAAAATAAAAGAGTTTTTTGAGAATTAAAATATATATAATATAATATACCCATATGGTACAAAATATTTTTAAAATCTTTTAAAAATATTTTTAGAAAGATAAAATAATTCTCGAGAATATTTTTAAAATGTTTCTATATCTCCGCTCATGTTTAAAAAATATTTTTGAATATAGATTTAAACTGATATTTCAAAAATATCTATCAAATATTTAAGAAAATATTATCTGAGCGATAAAAAAGAACATTTTTAAAAATATTATTAAGTTTTTTTTAAATATTCTAAAAAATGTTATCACAACAAAATTTTAAATCATTTTAAAATATTCCTAAAATAATTTTAATGTTTTTATACAATATATTTTATATAAAGATTTAGAAATATTTTTTGAAAACATTCATAATATTTTATGCTGTATTATGTGCTTAAAATGTTAAAGCAATTAAGTTTGATATGCAGCAAAAGCGTGATTAATTACGTAATTTTACGTCTTCCGCAGCTGTTCGTGATATAAAAGGCACGCTCGGATATAAACGTAACACTTCCTTTAAACATCTGTCTAAATATGATAAATCTTGCAACGATTTCATGGTAAGTTTTCCTCCGTTTTCCTGCATCGCGGTATCGATTTCAGCCCTCACACGTTCCTGTTCCATTGATAATAATAATTAAAAATCGTTTTTGTTATTCTAGTTTTTAAGCGCATAAATACAAATAAATTTTTGATAAATAAGACAATTATATTTATTTTGGAGGTAATTTAATTTTTGTAAATTATGTATATATAATTATATAAAGAAAAAATTGCACTATAATAAATTAAAAATTCATACTACTGTGAACAAAATTTGCAATAAAAATAATATCGCAATTGATTGAAGAATAAAATACCTGAATATCTTTGTGTTCAGCTAATAATAATAAAGCAAAGGTTAAACCCATCGCTGTAGTGTCATGACCCTGTAATCATTGCAATATTGCAATTTGTACTCACTTATGTTAGATAATGTCTAGAAAAAAATTGAAAAATATTTTAGCATATACATACTTCAAACATAAAGGTGTCGATTTCCTCTCTAATATCCAAGTCAGTCAAAACACCGTCTTGAGATGCCATTATTAGGAGATCCAGCATGGCTAGCCGTTTTTTTTTAACTGAAAATAAATAAAAAACATAAATCTTACTTTGGCACGTCGTATTTTGCAAGTCATTTAATTAGATAGCACATCATTATATACGTATATTTAATGTAGACATTACAAGCACAATTTAATTACAAATTAAAATCGTGTGCAGTTTAAATCTTATATACTTGCAAACACTTCTGCATCATCTATCTCCGCCTCTTTGTCACTTTCAAGATTTTTCAAGTATCGACCATTAGTGCGTTTATGATAAAGTTTTCTCTCTGCAATGATCTGCACGTTTTTTAAATGATGTTTTGTATTAAATAACACAATAGCACATTGTCCTATATTCTATATCATAGATATTATAATAGTATAATATGTTATTAATAATAGCATAATATATGTTATTAATTGATATTTTTGATTAATTATTTTATATAAAAAATAGTGTGAAGAATCTTAAGGAATATGATTTATATAATATACTTTTATTATATAATATACTTTTTCCGTAAATCCATGCAATATTTTCAAGATCCTTTTTTGCTTCCTTCCTGTTGATGACAATGCGAACATCAAATTATTATAGATCCAAGGGCTCAGTAATCTTAACCGTAACAAAATTATACAATTTCAATAATAATATAATTTTATAAAGATCTTATCTAAAGCCATCGTAAAATCATAGAATAAACTTTAAAAATCATAGATTGTAGAGACAATAAGTAAAAAATTATTTATATAGCAAAAAAATTTGGCTTTACATGACTATTCAATAACAATTCTAAAAGTCATAACTCAGAGGGTTATATATATACATAATTATTTTCTATATCTGTAAATTACCTATAAACTATTAGTTCAATTATCTCGTGAATTGCACTTCGATACTGTTGCTGAAATTTGCCAAGTTTTTGCAGAGAGATGCCCATCGCAGTTTCTATATATGCATTTATTATATGTATAAGATAAAAAATACAGTCACAAATTATTACTACTTACTAAATATTTCTTTATGCATATATATAAAAATTGCATATTATATTTTTTATTATGTTTATCATTATTCAGAATAATAATCTTACCGCATATCGCATTTAACGTATGTTCACTAGTAAATGGTACTAAATCTTTTACAACTGTTCCTCCGATATCTTTCAAACATTGTGCCATAAAATCACCCTCCTTGATCAAGATTTCAACAAATTGATTTAATATTTTAAAGTGGAATGCAGGTGTTAATAATTTTCGTCGCGTTTGCCACTTAGTGCCTATATAATATAAAGAAATCAAGATAACACAAAATAGTGCAATGAGATATAAATAATTTAATGTTAAATTAACCAATTTTTTAATAATATATGAATTAAATTTAATGTTAATTATATTAAATTTATTTTTAATTTTAATTATTTTTTATGTCGCAAAATTTTTTTATAATTCTTTTCTCATGCAATTTTTATAATATAAAATGAGTTGCATTATCATAAATTTAATTATTATTTTTTAATTAAAATTTTTAAACTGACAGATAGAAATAAACTAAAATTATTACAGTCTATAACAAAACAATTTGAATAATTAAAAATATTATTTAATTGTGAAACATTATTACTTCTATATATTTAATTGATAATGCATGACAAAATTATCTTTCAATATAATCGTGTTTACAAGTTTCTTTTAAATTTATTAGTTTACAACGAAGAACCTATACAGCACAAAATATTATAAATGTTTTCAAAAAATATTTCTATAAAATATTGCATAAAAACATTTTTAAATGGTTTTAGAAATATTTTAAAATAATTTAAAAAATTTTTGTGATAACATTTTTTAGAATAATTTAAAAAACTTAAAAATATTTTTAAAAATGTTCTTCTTTATCGCTCAGATATTTTCTTAAATATTTGATACATATTTTTGAAATATTAGTTTAAATCTATATTCAAAAATATTTTTTAAACATGAAGAAGCGGACATAAAAACATTTTAAAAATATTTTCGAGATTTATTTTATTTTTTAAAAAATATTTTTAAAATATTTTGAATGTTTTCAATATTTTTCAATATTTTATAGAAATATTTAGAAATATTTTTTTAAAACATTCATAATATTTTAAAATATTTTAAAAATATTTTAAAAATATTTTGTGTTGTATGGAAAGTTGTAAAAGTTTATCGGTTGAAATAATATTGAAATCTAAATATAAGATTTTAATGAATATTCTAATACATGAATAATTGATAATGTGATACGCACGTTGTAAGCTGATAATGTGAAATATGAACGCTTACATGTTAACGTCATTATATTACCTGCACTAGTAAGAAGACCTGTGTTGAACCAAGGTAGTAACGGCTTATATATATGACTTTTCTCGATATGCTTGATGTTACTTAATATCGTCTGAAACCACCAAGTTTTTATATTAGCATTTATAATCTTAAATACACAAATAATCGTATCACAAATTATTTAATTTTAATCGAGTATCTACGATAATTTTTTCACTTTAAAAAATATTTCTTTACGAATTAAAAAAATTTTTTTTGTGAAACAAGATTCCTAAATCTAACTAAATCGTAATGTCTATACAGAATCGAATTTCTTTTATTACCTCAAAATCATCTGGATGACGAATAAATACAACGGGTGTAAATAAAGCCCATAATTTAAAAATAGGATAATACAAATTACTTAAATCGTATAACAGTTTCAGTTGTTTCTCTGAAAAAATATATTATAAATATGACTACAAAAATCAAACTAATAATAATTAAAACAATTAATATTATTACAAAAAGAAATGCTGACAAAAAGTTAAAGATTATTTTATAAGTAAGTATAGTATGTAATAATAATATTGATAAATTATATACGTTTCAAGATTTATATTTTAATTCAACTTTTGCTTCAATGTATAAATATATGAATAAATTGTATGTCATTAATGTAAATAGATTTTAATATTATTTTATACTTGCCTGCTGAAAGTCCTTGGAAGTGCAATAAATAGCCAATAATCGGTAAGTTTTTTGGTCCTGGTATAAGATTAATCAATCGCCCATTTCTTCCATAATACACGTAATAATTATACACCAATAAAATAACAATAGGCAATAACAGTATTGTGATAAACATGGTTTCTTAACATTTAACGTCTTTGATCGTCTAATTAAACTCGATCTTCTTCTCCATCTAGCGTAATTGTCTTGATTTTCTAAATGTCACTAATTTTTTAAAACTCGATAAATTATAAACTTAACTATCATTGAAATGCATTAATTATATATTTTTTAGTTAACAACTTTAAAGAACTATAAAAAATTATGATAAATATGTGATCATTTGTAATAAAGAAAAACATTATTCGCGTAATAAAAATTTATGAATCAAATCAGAAAATTTTTTAATCAACTATTATATATAATTGTTTCTTTATTTATTGTATAAGATAAAATTTCGTAAAATTGCGAAACCTAAATCTATTGATTAATAATGTAATAATTAAAGCGAATGTCTCTCATTTTCGCATCAATTATTTTAAACATTTAAGCGATCAATAATTATGTATTTTCTTGTTTTGGATAACATAAATTTTTATTTGGTTTTTATTAAAAATATAATTCTCATATATATATTTTACGTTTTTATATAATATACAAATTATACATTAATGTAATTATATAAACCGCGACTGTTTGAAAGAGTCTTTCTTTAATTTTGTAGTTTTTTAATTCAACGTTTCTATCAAAATAATATATTAAATATTTAATAAAATTATATCAATTAATTAAAACTAACACCTTGTGATATTGGTTAAAATTTATATAAAAATTACGCGCTTATATTAATTATGATATTATTATATTATTAATTATTGTTCAGATTTTGTAATAGATTTATAAAATATTATTTTTATACAATATTTTGTGCAAATAATCCTAATTACCTGATAATAATTTTGAGGTGACGATCAGTTTAAACACCGTAAAATCAAATATTTAAGATGCAGTTATAAATCTCATCAAGCAGATATATACACTATACAATGTTTTCACAAAATGAGACTTATTTATACCGAAGATATTTATTTATAATTTATTCTGCAGGTCATAAACGTCATTGATAAGCTTAAGATAAGAATAAATTACAGAATTGCAATTGAGAATCAAGAAAGATGATAATTATACAAGACAGTAAGAAAATATTATATGTAATAATGAGACTTATTTATACCGAAGATATTTATTTATAATTTATTCTGCAGGTCATAAACGTCATTGATAAGCTTAAGATAAGAATAAATTACAGAATTGCAATTGAGAATCAAGAAAGATGATAATTATACAAGACAGTAAGAAAATATTATATGTAATAATATAGTTATGTAATAACAATATATATATATATATATATATATATATATATAATAATATATAATATATAATATATAAAGAGAACCATATAGTTTCGTTATTATATATTCGTACCTATATAATATTATTTGAAAATATGATTTTAGATTTAAGATGTTGATTCAAAATCCCTTATAGAAATTTATCACTAGTAACGTCAATTTATCACTTGTTTCGAGTATTTAATCACTCATTTCGAGTACTTAAATTACTGTATATCAGTATTTTAAGTACTCGAAATAAGTGATTAATTGGCGTTACTAGTAATAAATTTCTACAAGGAATAGTAATTGTGTTTTTGTTTAAAATTTTTTTTTAAATCGAAATTCTAACATTGGCAATACACAAGGAAAAATAATTTAGAGAATTTTTAACAATTTTAACAAAGCGCGAAAAATTAATTCCGAAGAATATTCTTCCGATTAAAAAATTTCATATTTATATTATTATTAATACTGAGAGCCGATAAAAATATTTCTTATCTGCAAGTATTTTAATGTTTCGTAAATTCGAAAAATTCAATAAATAAAAAGAGGTCTAGAGATATATATGCATTATCAAACAATTTAATTATTTATTATTATGTAAATTCTATCCTTCAAAAAAGCGCTGACAGCGCTGATATTTTGCTACTCTATTTTATTTTAATTATAATAAACAATTATATTTCACGGATCAGACCCATTAGAAAGATATTATATTCACAAGACATTTAATATAAATTGATCAGTTCGATTTTGTTCAGCTTTAATGTTATAAAAGTCAATTTCTTTCAAAAAAGTATTTTATTTTATCATAAGAGAATAAATAAAAAATAAATAAACAATAAAAATTAAAATTAAAAATAATTAAAAAATAAATACTTCTCTTATTTCAAATCTGGATAACTTAGTCAAAGCTCATCCTAAAAATTAAGGTTTTTTCGTCAAGAGAAGCTTTATTTTTCTTTTTCTTTAACATCTTACAGATTTCCTTGCTTGAGTAAATTTGATGCAATATAGAGAAGGAGGATAATAAAATCTGATTTAAATACCTATATATTTAATTGACAGTTCTAGTTTATCATCATTCTATCCATATTTCAGTTCTTTAGTCAGACAATTGTCAAATAAAATATAAAAATAATATCAATAACGCTTGCGAAGCGTGCGTTTGTGTTGTGTACATAAAAAAATTCAGAAATTAAAATTATATATTTAATTAAAATTCAGCAAATTAAAATTATGTACGTAATAAAATTAATATATAAAATATATATTAAAATATAAAATTAAAATATAATTATTTTGTTTAATCTAACTAAATATATAATTACGCACGCAAAGTGAAGTTATATTATTTTTTGATAAAAAATCTCGTAGTCACGTGACTACTGGTCATGTGACCATCAGACCCGCGCTCGCGATATGCCGCACGAAAATCAGTCTTGCGCGAACCGCGCAGCTTGATAGACATATGGAGTATATTAATCTGATGGATGCATAAGATAGAAAGAGAGAATTGTTTTTGTCGCTGATAGCTCGATTATTATAATCGCGTTTTTTAAACGCACTTCTCGTGTCTACATAATTTTTTTCGGGGATTAGTTTAAATTGTCAGTATATAATAGTTTTAACAATTTAAAATTATATGCTACTAAAATCTTAACAAGAAGGGAATTATTTGTATACCCAGACATAATTTTAATTCCTCGAATTTTTATTATGTCGCGACATAATTTTAATTTATCGAAGATTTTTCTTTCGATAAGTTAACACGTTGGAAGATGTATTTATTAAAGGTTAATAAAGCCTAATTCATTATTGACTGTAAAATTGGATGTCGTGTTTGATTGGAAATGAAATATGCTAGAAAATTTTATTTTTTTAGTAGCATATAATTTTAAATTGTTAAAACTATTATATACTGACAATTTAAACTAATCCCCGAAAAAAATTATGTAGACACGAGAAGTGCGTTTAAAAAACGCGATTATAATAATCGAGCTATCATGCGAAGATTAAACTACGATAATTTTGCTTTCTATTCGAGATTATCTTTTAAGATTTATCTTAAGGTTTATTTTAAGATTTATCTTAACAAGAAGGGAATTATTTGTATACCCAGACATAATTTTAATTACTCGAATTTTTATTATGTCTCGACATAATTTTAATTCATCGAATTTTTATTATATATCTCGACATAATTTTAATTCATCGAATTTGTATTATGTCGCGACATAATTTAAATTCATCGAATTTTTATTATGTCTCGACATAATTTTAATTCATCAATAATTTTAATTCGAAATATAATTCATGGATGATTTTTCGTGATCAGTCGGTCAAGGAACGAAGGCAAAGAGAAACACACTTGTGCCTTCCGGGACAAAAAATCATGCAACATCTGGTACTTTGAGAGAGAGGTCCGTCATAAAACTATTTGTACATATGCTGTATGCGTGGGAGCGAAAGCTTTACGTATTCTTACTTTGTTAACTCTTAAAATATGTTTTTTTTTAATTTTACTGCGTTTTCCCACGAATGAGATTTTTCTTTCGATAAGTTAACACGTCGGAAGATGTATTTATTAAAGGTTAATAAAGCAGACAAGTGTATCTAGCATGTTGGGAATAAATTTTGAATGAAGGAAACGCGCATAAAAAGATGGGGCAAAATAAAAAATGCTCAGATAAAGATTACATAAGTTCATTCGTATAAATAATTAATTGATATATGCAACATGAAAATTCGATGGATAAATTATTGTGCGGAAATGTATGTTTACCCGGGAAAAATTTTTTATATATATTTATATATAAATAATTGTATAATTCTACATATAATCATAAAATTATATATGTCTATTTTTATACATAATTATATAAATTTATATATAAATTATAAGAGTTCATATAATCATGTGAAATTATATATAAAATATATATATATTTATATACATATATGAAGAAATACTCTATTATTTATTATATATATAAATTTATATAATTATATATAAAAAGCACTTTTATCTAATTATGTATGGACATATTTCATATATAATTTTATATTGTTATATATAAAAAATTTTTCCCGGATACATATATGTTTCAAGGGACTTAATTAAAGACATGTACATACAATATTGCGCATAATGTTTAACATTATTACAGGCATTATTGTAGATTTCGATGCAAATCACGCTTCGTCATTAAATACAGATGTATCTAAAATATATTACAACATATATTCGAAGAATATATCTATATATATATATGATTCCTATAATTTGTTAGTACTCGACGGTGACGGTTTTCGTTTTCAGATACTCATTAAGCGCCTCCTGACCCAGGTCCTTCCCGAATCCGGACATCTTGAAGCCGCCGAAGGGAGCCGCTACATCCGTCTTGTTGTACGTATTGATGAAGACGGTACCAGCCTCGATCTTCTCCGCGAATCTGAGCGCCCTGCTGATGTCCTTGGTGAGGATGCCCGAGGCCAAGCCGAATTCGGTGTTGTTCGCCCGAGCGATCATCTCGTCGACGTTCTTCGAGCTGAACTTGGAGATCACCATAATGGGTCCGAAGGACTCTTCCTTGGCGATGTACATATTGTCCTGGACGTCCGTGAACACGGTCGGCTTGAAGTACCAGCCAGGACGGTCCAATCTCTTGCCGCCGTAAACCAACGTCGCACCTTCCTCGATCCCGATCTGAACAAACTGCAAGAGTTTGCCCAGATGGGCCTGATGATTTTGCGGTCCATGAGCTGTGCTTCTGTCCAACGGATTGCCGATGGAGATCTTCTTCACCTCTTCGACCACGCGTCTCACGAACTCGTCGTGGATTGTCTCCTCGACGAAGAGTCGTCCTGTATTAGTAAATAATAATAAGAATTATAATACACAATAATCATAAATTTTTATTTGATATTTAAAATTAATTTCTATACTCACACAAATAAATTAATATTAATTGCCCTCAATAATTTATTCAAATATTAATTTGATTTTAATTAATTTATTTAATAAAAGTTTTATTACTTAATAAAATTTATTTAATAAAATTATTTTATAAAATAAATAATAATAAGAATTATAATACACAATAATAATAAATTTTTATTTAATATTTAAAATTAATTCTTATACTCACAAATTAATTAATATAATTATATACTCTCGATAATTTTTCAAATCATTAATTCAAATATTAATTTGATTTTCATTAATTTATTTAATAAACATTTTTATTATTTAATAAAATTATTTTATAAAATTTGGAATTTATTTTTCAGAAAAAAATTACGTGAGATTATTTATCTATAGAAAGAGTTCAACTTTTCACAAATAAGGAAATATTAAACAAGCGCTCATTTACCAGCGGCGATGCAGTTCTCGCCCTTGTTGAAGAAGACGCTGCTCATCCCGATCCTGACCGCGTGCTGCAAGTCAGCGTCCTCGAAGATGACGAGGGGACTCTTGCCGCCGAGCTCCAAGGACACCTTCTTCAGGTTACTGTCGGCGCAGCTCTTCATGATGGTCTGGCCGATCTGCGTGGACCCGGTGAAACCCAACTTCCTGATCAGCGGATGCTCGACTATGGCGTTTCCGACGGCGCTGCCGATCCCGCAGACGATGTTGATGACACCGGGTGGAATTCCGGCGCGCGCTGACAGTTCGGCGAATTTTAATGCTGTCAATGGCGAGGCCTGGGCCGGTTTCATCACCACGGTGTTCCCGGCCGCCAGACAGGCCGCCATCTTCCACGAGAGCATCATCAGAGGATAATTCCACGGGGTGACCAGCCCGCAGACGCCGATCGGCTCGCGCCTCGTGAACGTCAGATTTCGATTCGGACGCGCGTGCGAGATCGGGATGGTCGAACCGTGGATCTTGTCGCACCAGCCGGCGAAGTAGCGCCACGTCTCGATAGACATACCCACGTGAGTCTTCAGAGCTAGGGTGTAGACCGCGCCGGAGTCCACGGATTCCAGGGTGGCCAGCTCCTCCTTGTGCTCCTCCATCAAATTTGCTAATCTAAAGAAAATCGGAGAGATAAATTAATTCTTAGAAATAAAGTTAAATGAAATTTCTAGGAATTTTTATCAGTTTTTAGTCTTCCAAAAAAAGATTTGCTGATGCTAGTAATAAAATTAAAAATAAAATTAAAATAAAAACGAAATTAAATTAAAATTAAATTAAATTTTTGTTAATCTCATCCAGAAATAAAGCTAAATAAAAATTCTAGGAATTTTTAACAGTTTTTATTTTTTCAAAAAAAAAGATTTGCTGATGATGATAAAATTAAATGAAAAATAAAATAATCAATAATAAATAAAATTAAAATAAAATAAAATGAAATAAAATAAAATAAATTAGAAGTCATTATGCTTACTTGAATAACAATGCTCCGCGTTCCCTGGCACTGATTTTACCCCACTCGCCCTGCTCGAAGGCCTTCTTGGCGGCTTTGACAGCTCGATCGACATCCTCGGCGGTCGCACTTTCCACCGAGCAGATAACGCTCTCGTCGTGGGGATTTATCGTGTCGACTGGCTTGCCGTGACCATTGACAAACTCGCCGTTGATGAAGAGCTGTTTGGGGAATCTCAGGGTCATGTTGTTCGCCTGTAGCACCACCGCGTCGTACTTGATCTCCTTCACAGCTACGCTTCCTCGAGCGGCGAGAACGACTGTTGTGGCTAATTCCTTGAAGACCGGTGCCATGAAGACGTCTGTGTTCTGCAGGCTGACCCCGAAATTGTCTTTAAGCTCCTCGACCAGGCGCACCACGTCCATGCTGCTCGCACCTGTAATTAAGTATGATTTTATTATATTTTTTTATTATATATTATATTATTATTATATATATATTATATATTATATAATATTATATTATTATTATTATATATTATATATTTTATTATATCTTATATTATATTATATTATATATAGTATATTATTATATTAATTATTATATCTCTTCAATTAAAAATAATAATGAAAAAATAAGATATAAAAATTGGAATCTCACAGCTTACCGGAAACGAAGAAATCCGTGTCGTCGTCGACCTCGATTTTAAGAATATCCGTCCAGATTCGACGTAGACCTTCCACGATCTTCAGCTCCTCTTCCGTGAACTCCACGACCTCGCCTTCGCCGGCTCGTCCGTATTTGCTGGCGTGGATGGTCTTGGTACCGAGTTTGATCCTCTCCACGTTGACGTGTTGTCCATCCCCGGCCTTGACCAGCAGACCACCCGAATGAATGATCCCTTTTCGCTCCTCGAGGTCGACCTCCGCCTCGATCTCCGGTAATCTGCCGTTGCTCCATTGGGAGGAGCCGAAGAGGCGCACCTCCTCGCCGTTCAGCGTCGTCCAGGCACCTGGCGTGCTATCCAGACCGCGGATGAAGTCGTGGACCTGCTTCGCCGGCTTGGTCCAATCGATCTTCTGAAGCTCCTTCTTGTTCAGCAACGGATCGTAAGTCGCGCCCTCCTCGGTTTGCGGCATCTTGGGCGCCTGCTTCTTGGCCACGAGGTCCACGGCCTCGCCCATGGCCTCGATACCCTCCGGATAGAGGAAGCCGTTGTACAGGCTGTCCACCGTGTCGTTCGGCTCCACTTTGCAGGATCTTTGAAGAAGGATCGGCCCGGTATCCAGACCGTCGTCCGCCCAGAAGATCGACAATCCTGCGGTCTCGTCTCCTTGGATCAGAGTCCTGGAATAAAGTGGATCAAGATTTCTTAAGAAAATTTGGCTTTTTTGGATTTTATATTATTTACACTATGAAATATGTTATTACATTATTATATTATTATTAATATTAAAATATATATATATATATATATATATTATTATTATTATATTTATACTATTATATAAAAATGAAGATTATTATTAAAAAAATTCTATTATTAAAGCGACTATCTCTTCATATTTTTCTCTACAATTTTCCGGCAATTAATTAGCTCATGCACAAAAAAATGTATTTTAATTTATTAATTATACTTTAATTCACATATTATTTCTATTATTGCCATATAATAATAAAAATGTTGTTAATCGTGGTTAATTTATTTGATAAAAATATATATACGAAAAAAATATTAGCTATCATATAAGAATATAAATAAATTTTCCTTCTCTTCCCCATTAGAATTATATAGCTTAAAAATCTTAATTATCATAGCTAAAAAAATGTTGCAAGCGACGTGCCCGAGAGGATAAAACGATACGATATCGATTCATAGGTCAAAAGTGAACGATATATACAGACATATATTCGCGTAATCGTTGAATGGCGAAATCGTACGGTGAACTCGCGTATTATCGTCGACGTATGATTATCGCCAACATATTTTCATCGAGAAAGTGGTCTCACTTCGCGTAATCTGGAGCGCGAAAAACTGCGGCGAACCGGTTGTTCCGGCGCGTGCGAAGATATCGAGAAATATCTCTGTAGCCGATAGATATAAGCGTGACAGCTAATATTAAAATAAAGGCTGAAAATAAATCGAACGACGAAGATTATTTAATCACATATATAACAGCGCGCAAAAAAAAATATATTACTTTAAAAAAATGTATCGCGATGTTGAAAATTAAATTTTAGCAAGATAGTTCGCGTAGATTTGTCCAAAAATTTCCGGAATTTAAAAATTAAAATAATTAATAAGACACCCATACAGCACAAAATATTTTTAAAATCTTTTAAAAATATTTCTTAAAAAATAAAATAATTCTCAAAAATATTTTTAAAATGTTTCTGTGTTTTCATGTTTAAAAAATATTTTTAGAAATATTTTTGAATATAGATTTAATCTAATATTTCAAAAATATGTATCAAATATTTAAGAAAGTATTATCTGAGCGATGAAAAAGAATATTTTTTAAAATATTTAAAAAATTTTTTTAAATGTTCTAAAAAGTGTTATCACAAAAAATTGTTTAATCATTTTAAAATATTCCTAAAACCATTTTAAAATATTTTTATGCAATATTTTATAGAAATATTTTTTGAAAACATTCATAATATTTTGTGCAGTATAGGTAAATGATTATTAAAAAATGAATAATTAATAATTAATAATATAACAATATAATAAAAGAATTAGTTGATTAGAATTAAGGGACGCGATTTATTAGCTTCTATTAGAGATTCACCAGCTTATGGCACTCGCTCCTCGATGTCTGGGTAGCAAGGACGGATGATAACATATGCTGCGATGACGGGGATGATTGATGACCTCCATGGGAATGAACTGGGTGCAGAAGGGAAGAACGTTGAGGTCCACCTCGATGCTCTTGTACAGGTCCAAGATTTCAGGCAAGGCCACACCCTTGCTTCTCCAGGCTTTGATCTTGAAGACCGGCGTGTTATCGGCTTTGGCGGTGACAGCTGAAATTTAAGAGAGACGATAACGAAATGAACGAAACCACTTCCTTCAATCTCTAAGGGCGTTCAGATATCCCGGGAAAAAATTTTGTATATATAATTATATATAAATAATTGTATAATTATACATATAATTGTAAAATTATATGTGAATATATATATATATATATGTCCATTTTTATACATAATTATACAAATTTATATAATTATAAGGGTTCATATAATCATGTCAAATTATATATAAAGCATATATATTTATATATATGTATAAAGAAATACTTAATTTATTATATATATAAAATACATATATAAATTTACATAATTATATACATATAAAAAGCACTTTTATTTAATTATGTATAGACATATTTTCATATATAATTTTGCGATTATATGTATAATTTTATATTGTTATATACTTTTTCCGGGATCTTATCGCCTATAAAGATACCTTCTAAACATCTTCCGAGATCAGAGATTATATTTTAAGAAGAGTGAAAATCGATAAAAATGCTTGACTGATTGTGAGAAATAATTAATGTCTATATAGTATATTTAGTTATATATATTTATATTAATATCTATCTTTTTTAGACGATATTATATTATATCTTCTTGATGCAAGACTGTAGGTATTTTTTCGACAAAAAATTGATAGCAGGAATTTTTAGACATATCTTCTAGAGATTATATACCTAGAGGATCCTCGCGATTTCCCTTATCCGGAATCGTGAACACTCCGGTGATCTGATGTCCATTTTGCCGCAAAAGTTTGTAGACCTCTGCCGCAAAGGGACTCTGTCCGATGATAGCAACCTTGAGCTGCGCCATCCTCGACTTCTACTTCGTAGAAAGAATTTTTATTAATTTATACAGATCTTTAATAATTAAATTTTGAAGTATATTCTAAAGAAAAATTTTATAAAGGAGTTTCTTATATGAAATAAATATTTTTCACATCAAATCAATATTATTAGTTTCAAATAAATGATTTATTTGGCAGTATTGAAATACTTAATCGAATTTAATAAATTTTTTTTCAGTATATAGCATAAAATGTAGATGATTTACATACACTACAATTTTTCTTTATTTGTTCCAAATTAAATTATTTATTAAGCAGTATTAAAATAAATATTTATTAATTTAATAATTTTTTTCAGTGTATCTATTATTTATCAGAGAGAATAGTTTAGTAACTTGCTCGAGAAATCTTGAACTTAAGAATAACGAATAAAAACTAAAGAATAATTAAAGAACAATAAGATACACGTTTCTTACAGCTACGTGTCTCGTTTATGACTGACTTCTGTGACTAATCATTTTCGTATTTCGTCGTTGACGAAATACAATAACATACATATCCTTATCTTTATTTATTGATATAATATAACAGATATCAAATAATTTGTTTCTTTTTCCGGAAAATAAGAAAGCCTTATCCTTTAACTCTCAAACGATCGCATAAAAAAATTGAAACTACAGAATATTTTTATATTTTTCCTCATAAATATATTTAATAAAAACAAAATTTTCATTTTTTTCTTCCGTTTTCTTTATAAATTTTATTATCTTTGATATAATTATTTCTGAAATAAAAAAATTAATTTTAATTTTAAAAAACTATTCCAACAATAACAGAAATCTTACAATAAATTAATTACATTTTATGCGATCTTCCGAGGATTAATTAACGAGCGACTTATTTAATTAATTCATATTAAATATACGATTAATTGAATAATCAATAAGGAGTAATTATAAATATAATATTCGTTTTATACATACCTGTCTAAGATTTAATCCGTCGTCTATAATTATGTTAGTAGAGCGGTTTTAAGCAAACTGTAAAAAAATTTATAATTACGAAGCTTATTTACAGAATAAATCGCAAAAGCTTCATTTACCGTCACCACACATACATATATCCAAAAATTAAATTAAAAAATATTAATCAATTAAAATAATAGCATAAATTAACACGTCGAATGGCACGTGGAAAGATTTCTATATTACATAAATCAATTTGCAAATTGCTCAATTGCATATTCATGTTGTGTATTATGCTATACTCTCTCTTAAAGGAAATCAGTGTATCATCATTGATAAATGATTTTTTTTTCAATTATAGCAAACAGTGAAATCTTCTTGAAAAAATTAGTTGCTAATTTTTCAATAAAATCTTATTGATTTCCAGTGTAATTAATGAAACGTAAAACAAAGAAGCAAAAAGTATGAGTGTTTTTATTAAAGATCAGTAAAATCATTGCTTTAATCAGTAACTTTTCGCTGATTCAGTTCAAGAGAATAAAAAACGTAAAATTAATTTATCCAGATATTTAATGTAATAACGATAATTTTTTTATAAAATAAGTATGATAATAAAATAATTAAAATAATATATATATAATATATTAAATAAATAAATATATTATATTACCTATATTATACATATAATTAATTATATAATGTAATAATATAATATTGCAATAATAAAATTTGAATAATTAAAATTATAATTAAAATAATTATCATTATTTATATTAATATAATTATAAATGCATATTATTACACATATACATCGCTTAATCGGTGGATTCATGTGACATCTCTAATTAATCGATAATTCAATTTTAATGAATAAATTTAAATGTGCATTCAACATGTTAATCTTCTCTCTCTCTCTTTCCCTCATCGGACAATAGTATCTTTTTTTTTCATTCGATGATACATGAAACTCGGAACTTACGATATCCAAGACGAAGTTGCGCCGCCAGATGAGATTTCTCAGACCCAGCATCAGTTCTAGAGAAGCGCGGGTGCACTAATGGTCCAACTGTTGCGCCTTCACTTTCTTCACTGACTGCTCTCACGATAGAACGCGAACGGTTCACCGTAGAATCGATTCCATCGATTGCGTACCCAAGCAAAACCGGCTACGTTTATATAATGTCGACGATATCTCTCGCACGCTTAGGGTCAAGATCTATGCCGAACATCGTCAGAAATTTTTATTTTCCAGGCATTCTTATCTTCAGACTTCTACTGATATAGTATATTTTGAGAATGCTGTGACTAAACTTACATTTCGACAATTTATCAAAATACAAATTTAAAGTATACATTTTTCAATAACACATGATAAAATATAACATCGAGAATTCATGCAACATTTATCGTTAGAGAAATTAAATTACAAAATTAAACGCATATTTTGTTACATTGTTTAAGCGCTTTTTTTAGTATATTATTATTTGCTATTAAATGCAGTATATAATTTTTTTGTAAGAATAAATTGAAAAAGAAATATTCTTGTGTGGTCAAATATTTATAAAAATTATGTGTATCATATTTTATGCATATATAATCACGATACTTATAAAACATGTATTTATAATTCGTTCTTCAAGATTGTCATATGCTCTTGACCAGATCAAATCTTGAGTCCACTAAGATCATACTTATAAGATCTTGAATATAAAAAATGCACTTTACAAATATATAATATATATTAGCTGAAACCTATTAGCTTCAAGAATTTGTATCTGATTCAATTAATATAAAATATTATATGTAATAGCTATATATAATTTCAATATTATTATACAATATTAATATATAATTTTAATAAATATTTGATTAACGAGAAAAGGCTATATGTACGTGCATATTATAACTTTTTCTTATTTACTATTAAATATTGATCTAAAGTTTAAATTATAATGTACGCAAGAAAAATATTTAATGACGCAGACGTGTATCTAAATAACAACATAACGCATTATTTCATTTTTACACTTCAAAATTCGTCATCGGAATAATCGAATGAAAAGAATACTTGTTTCGTGACGCCAATGACTTCGACGCAAGATTACGAGTCCAAACTGACTCGATCCAGTTTCGAGGGAAAGATTTCCCGGTATCGATCGTTTGTAAATAGGCAAAGGTCCCAACCCGAGATACTCTTCTGTAGAACCGCTTTAAATCGGTTTCGAGTCCGGAAAAAGATTCTTATCGTAAAATGCACAATTTTCACAATACTATCAAATTTTATACATCCATGCAGCAGATACGTTCGGTCATCGCGCTGTAACCCCTTGTGTTACATCATTTCCCGACCTTGTTTCATAAAAAATCGTTTAAATTATACTATTGTTTCGAGAAGAGTCGCATATCTTTTAGAGAAATACAATAAATTTTATCTTGGCTCTATCTTATTGTATGTAAATAAAAATATCGTTCTCGTTTTACAAAAGAATTACATTTACATTACTCTGTGAAATTCAATAAGATACCACAGTAAAAGAATAAGTTTAAAACTCCTAGAATCAAAAAGTGCATAATAAGCACTTTACGCCGGAAAACCGGTTACATATATGTGTACGTATATTTACTTAAATATTTTTATTATAAAATGGAAAACATAGGAAAATTTGCTGAATTAGTCGTCTAAATACGTCATCGAACAAATATGTATGTTTATTAAAATATTTATCGTGTTGTATAATATTCGCGGCATTAAATTATCAATAACTAAAACTTATTACACAGCTTCACACAATTTTGTTTTACTTAATTAATATAACACTGTACGTAGATTTAATAAATATTTAAATGATAAAAAGCATAACTAAATATATACTTCTTTATGCATCATTATTTCTTTTTTATTTGATTGATTTGAGTTTATTTAATTGATCTATATGTATATATCTTATATATGTGTATTATTTATAAATATTATATGTATTTTATGTAAATGATCTATAATACAACATATAATACAATGGGGATCACTTTCAATATCAATATATAACTAATATAGCTCTTATATATATTCGAACTTTATCAAATCACAAGTAACTTACTTTTTAATTGGTCTCTAAATGAACAAAAATCATTATACTATTAGAATATTTATTAAACTAATCAAAGTATTTTAATATCGCGGTACTTTAAACTCGGACGCGCCGTCGATCGTCGTCGTCGGTTTCCTCTTATTCATAATATTCTGAATCTTCTGCCACTCGCGATCGAGCTCCGCCTTCTCGTTCTTCTCCTTGTTGTACTTCCTGGTGCGCCTACCATCGGCCATCTTCACGCCATACTGGAAGGCAGCCTTAGGCAGCGCCTCCTTGTTATTCATATATTCGCTATACTCCTCGGGCGTGTCAAAATCCCAGCGGCCGATTGGGCCCTTCTTGTTACCCAGGTCCATCTTCGTGTAATCTACTTCGTCGTCCGAGTCGTCGATGGCGTCTTGCATTTCATCCAGACCCGGATAACATTCGGCGTAACCTTCCGGCTCGGCCGCGAGTTTATTCAACAACGCGCCCTTCTTCGGCGCGTTATTATCCGTCGCGGCCACCGCGTTCTGCTGCAACACGCTCGGCAATTGCGGAGCATTCGCCTTGTCGTCGGTGTCAAGATTCGATTCAGGCTTGTCGAAGTACGAGCCCTTCTTCTTCTCGCGCGACTGCAAGTCCTTCTTGCTCGTCACCGTCGGCACGTAGTCGCCGATTTCGCCGTAGATGCTGTCGTCGGCGACCGGCGGTCGCGGCTGAATGTCTATTTCGTTCTCATCCCCGCGGATTCGTCCGTCCTTCAGCTTCTTGCCCTTCTTACTGTGTCGGCTACCTTGACGCAAATACGACAGAATCTGCGCCAGTTTGTTGATCACTATGTCGTTGGTCGTAAGAGTCGGCGTGTTGTCGATCGTCGGCACGTCCGCCTTGCTTCTGATCAACGTCGTGGGTATGTCGACGTCGGCGTTGTCGTCGTCCAGCTCAATCACGTACGCCATACGACCCGGCGTGAACAGCTCGTTCCTCTCGATCTGCTTGGACTTCATGATCATGACGGTCTTGTACACGTTCCGGCCCATCTTCGTCTTGAATTGCATCTCGTCGTCCTTTTTCTCCGGCTCCTTCTTCGGCGCCTTCTCCTTTGGTTTCACGAGCTTTTCCATTTCCTGCTCCTGCTCGTGCTCCTTTGCTTCAATTTCACTGCGTACCTGTAAAACAGTGTTGTATTAGTTATTTTAATCTGTGTTAAATACAAAATTTACTTTTGTTTACTTATATAATAAAGTAAGATGAAGAACCAATGCATAAAGGTATCAAATAATATAAGCTGAGTGTTTCTATAATAATGTAAATATAAAAAGATATAAATAATATATATTGGACTTACAAATACTTAAGAAAGCACTTGTATAAATTTAGTGCAAGTATTATAAGATATCCTAATACATTTTAAATAAAAATAGAATTACAAATCTATTTTGTGTGTTTTATACCTTGAGTTATATCTTCCTCAAACAATCCTTAATAGAAATTGAATACAAGAAAAATAATTAGAAACATAGTTTCTACATTAAAAAAAAAGTAAAGTCTCCAATTAGATTACAAGATTTATTAATTTGTTCAAAAATTAATTCCTAATCTAATTTTTTGAGGATAATATTTGGTAGCTATTTTTATAGCTTCGATCAAGAATAATAAAAGTGAAAATCACCTTTTGCAGAAATTTAGTGCAAGTATTATAAGATACCATAATACATTATAAATAAAAATAGAATTACAAATCCATTTTGTTTTATACCTTGAGTTATATCTTCCTCAAACAATCCTTAATAGAAATTGAATACAAGAAAATAATTAGAAACATAGTTTCTACATTAAAAAAAAGTAAAGTCTCCAATTAGAGATTACAAGATTTATTAATTTGTTCAAAAATTAATTCCTAATCTAATTTTTTGAGGATAATATTTGGTAGCTATTTTTATAGCTTCGATCAAGAGTAATAAAGGTGAAAATCACCTTTTGCAGAAGAGCATAATCCAAGCCTTTGACCAAGTGAGTGTGCTCCATGTCACCACCCAAGAATTTTGACTGCTGGATCATCTGCCTCCTGCGCTCTGCAGCATCCATGCCAGATTTTAAATCCGGTGCAACAGCTCTGTATGCGCTGGCACTGTTCATAGGATCCTCGGCTTGGTAGTCCTGATTGGTGCCGTCTCTGCGTTCCCTCGCGCGATCCCTGTACTTCTCCGCGAGCTCTGCCATCTTGTCCTCCTCCTGTTTCTTCAGCTTCGCGTAGAAGCTCTTCTTCTTCCTCCGCAGCTCTGCTCGACTGCCCCCACTGACCTGGGGAGTCTGGGCTGTCTTTGCGCTGGCATCCCTAGCTGTGCCTGGCACGGAAGCTGGAGTAGCCGAGGGCACCGATGCCCTCGGGGTCATCAGAAGTTTCCGAAAGTCGTCGTTCGTCAGACGAACCGACATACCCATCTCATCCTCCGTCTCTGGCATTTTGTCCGGTTGTTTTTCTTACACCAGAAATAAGGTTAAAATCAGTAATCTTGTGGAGAAATGTATGGAGAATAATTTTGTTAATATAACAAATAATATATTTACCTTTTGTGAAAGAGTATAAATACAACCAATTATAGCTTTATAGATGTTAAAAAAGTCGAATTAAGTAAAATTTACATCAGCTCAGCTGTGAAATCAGGCGACTCTTCCATATATATATATATAATCAACACAACCAGAGTTCAGCGCCACACATAATTTATGTTACCAACAGATGATAAATCTCTGATTTTACAGTCTATTTCCACAAATATTGTTTTTTAAACAAATTAATAAATCTTGTAATCTAAATCTAAACTTTACTTTTTTTTAATGTAGAAACTATGTTTCTAATTATTTTTTTCCTGTGTTCTATTTCCATCAAGTATTGTTTGAGGAAGATATATAAAATTCAAAAGATATATAAAACAAAATGGATTTGTAATTCTATTTTTACTTATATATATATTATAATGTATTATGATATCACTTTTAACACTTGTACTAAATTTATACAAATGCTTGCTAAGTCTAATATATAATATTTATATATTTACATCATTATAGAAACGCTCACCTTATTATATTATTTAATAACTCTATGCATTGATTCTCCATCTTATTTTATTGTTTTGGAAAACTGGAGACACATAAGGTGAGGATGAGGATCAAGACACATGTAAATGAGCTTAAAATAAAATAAATGTAAAGTAGTAAAATAGTAAATGCAAATCAGCAGTTTTCACCTTCCTGATAGCAATGTGGATTATAATTACTGCATTCAGTTGAAAGTAACTTTGGCCCCGAGATATGATTTGCGACATAAAATGGAAACTCTTTCATTCCATTACATGCAGCACCGAATTCTCCCTTTTTGTTCAAAGCGATTACCCCACCGAAGAATGTGGGATAGTGTTCGCTGATCCTGTTAATCGCTGTCCTGGCAGCTGCAAATGGTGTTGCTCCACGACGCATCTCCTCTACAGCCAGAAAGCTATATATAAAAAGTGTTAACTTTAATTTTATGTAATAAATACACTAAATCTATATATAGTATAAACACTATAATAGTAACACATATATAAATCAGGTAAAAAAATATTACATTTTGTTATTTAAATATATTAATGTATATATATATATATATATATATATTATATATTTTAATTCCTGAGAATTTTTATTATAAACATAATTTTAATTTTCCCAAAATTTTTATGTTAACATAAAAGAAATTCAAAATTAATATTTTATCTAAATATAATTTTAATTCTATGTTTTTTAATTATAATTCAATGAATTGTTATTAAGCTGTAATATAATTAAAGTATGTCTAGACATAATAATAATTTCTCTTCTTTCAGTATAAAGTTAATTGAGTAGAACTTTTATGATGATATTAAATAACAAAATGGCATGCCATAGATACGAAAATTAAATTTTAAATAGAATTTGTAAATTGAAAATTCAGTTCCATAATGCTGAAAGATATGTTAATATGAATGATATACCTCGGCAGAAACCGCATCATAATATCCCCGTCACCAGTACCAGCCGCAGCGCCAACATTTTGATCAGCGTATGCTCCAGCTCCTGGAATAGGAGAATCCCCGATGCGGCCGGGTATTTTATGGTTGGCGCCGTTTGTGGAAGTGCCGGCCGCCGTACGTCCCTGCGAGTCTATTGCGAGTATACCGATCGTATCGTGATTTTCCTCGCTTCCTGTCAATTCTTCGTAATTATCATTTTCTTCTTCTACATTCTTCGGCGCATACGGTCCGCAGCTGGTTGTTGGATCTGGTGCAACATTCTAAAAATAATGAGAACATCAGCGAAATAATTATGAGAAATTAGGTTTCTTCTTTTTATACCTTCCAGAAATTGGGTTGACAGTTATTTGCTTTCCACTGTGTCCACATTTTCAAAGATTCATTTGTCGTTAAAGATTCTTTCTTAAATCCCATCTTCACGGCGAACTCCGTACCCAGTTCCCCGCCCAATAAACTATGTTTTGTGTAGTGCAGCACTTTGCGAGCCACTGAAATAGCACTCTTTACGTTTCGCAATCCTCCTATTGCGCCTACATCCATTGTCACTCTGTGGAAGAAATATAGTATTCCTTAAATACTTAAATAATACAGTTTAACTTGAGTAAAAAAAGATGTGTTATTGCTTTTATTACCCATCCATAATCATAGCATCCAGTGCAGTTTCTCCATCCTCATCCGGACTGCCACCAAATCCTACAGTCTTTCTGCATTGTTCCTCCTCACATAGAGTGCATCCTTCTTCTATTGCATCTAGAGCACTTCTCTTCTGATTATATATCACGTCCCATGCTTGAAAATAATAATAAAGAACATTTTTAAATGAAAGAATTTATACACAAAGTTGTCATTTATTTCTCTGGTCAACTTAATGTCAAAGTATATATAATATACCTTTCTCGATTGCAGTTGTATAATTCCAGGTAATCACTATCACAGGTAAGGTATTGGAAGCATCAATTGCATCAATAAGCAAACAAGCTTCAAAGAGGAACAGAATTCCTACAAAATTGGTGAACTTCATCCTTCTTGCAGTTTCTAGAAATATCCAATGTTACATAGTCTTAGATATAAGTAGCATGAACGTTGTATGAGAGAAAATGGAGGGAGAAAATATCTTTGATAAACAGAGAACATATTGATACCATATGTTGTTATTAATAGATAAAATTATCACGTTGTATTAATCTATTGTGATTAATAAACAATCAAAGAAACCAATGAAATATTTATATCTTAAAATCTCAATTTACTTGTATATCACTAAAACATTATTGTTACGTTGTCCTAAAATATTTATAAGATTATGTTGGCGATAGTAATATATAATCCCAAAATATTAGATTATTATTAATGTTTGAGAATATATACAGTGGCCAAAATATATGCATTGTTAAACAATTCTATTACATTCACAGAATATTATCTCTGGATTTAATTATTTCAAAATTGAAAGAGCAAGCATTTTCTCTATCTCAAAAAATTTTTTTCCAATTCTTATGTTTTTTCTAATGTCATTTGCAGACAGAATAAAAATATAGATAACACAGTGCAATGTACAATTAAAATAAGGACAGTCTCTGCAATATGGATCCCAATCGGTTGTGCATTGAACTTTTGGTACAAAATACTAGAGATCATCGTTGTTTTATAAGAATTACATTAATTTTCGCTCTATTCTAATTTACTAACCCTATTTCTTTTTTAAATCCCAAACATTTCCATTCCCATAAACTACATACCCGAATATACGAATGTAAAATACACATTTATCGCGCGATGCGTTTTGATGTCACGTTGTGAAACGCTCTTATTTATGTGCACAACTAAATAAATATACAATAATTAATCGCTATTGTGACAGCAATCTCGTTTTTCTTGTGCAAAGTTTATCGACACACTTCTCTCCCGCCATTTACATGATGGCGCAAAACAGCTGACGCAAAACAGCTGATTGATCCTTATTATTATGTGTGTGAAATAAGTGTTTTCGCGTTTTCAGGAATTGTCGAGGAATCAAAAGAACGAGCGATCTCCTGATATAAATTTACACAATAAAATCTCGTGTGATAAAATATTTCATGCAAATTCAATACGCACATCTCACAGAAAGGTGTATAACCTGCTGCCGTAATTTCTCACCAATTTCCGATTTCGCACAAAATGTCCTTCAAAAAGATCTGAAGCTGCTCGTGAAGCCGTATTACTTGATCAATATTTTCCTCAGCATCTCGTACATCCTATCCAAGCGCATTCCCATAATCTGTAATTACATATTTGCTCAAAATGACTGCGAACTCGATGGGGTGAGTGTACTACAATTTTATAACAATAATTATAATTTCAGTAACATCTAATTATATTTTGTTAATGAATCTGTTTTTACAGAGGGAGACGGAAATTCTCTTCTTCCTTATGATTGTCATTATGATAAGGACAAGAAAAACTGGCAGCGTGACCATGATAAATTATTTGACGTCTAGTTTTGTATATACAAAAGTGGCAAACTTGATTTTATGGTTTTATGCAGATGTGCGGATGGGCATTGTATTTGCATTTATTTTCATATGTAAGATGAGACGCATGAAACAGTAAAGTCTCATAAATTACTGCGTCAAAGATAACATGTCATGCTTGTATTTAGTGTGCGGCTTGGTGCTGCCAGAACCGACATATCAAGGACCTGAGAATGTAATCTATTTACATGGAGCCAATGGACTACAGGAGGAATTACGTGACACTAGAGTGGTTTGGCTGGTGGCATTTTACACAGCATGGAATCCAGCCTGTGTAACTTTTGCTCCGATCTTTTCTGAACTCTCTGCACAGTAAGTGCTTTGGAGTCCTCAATCTCTTTTTAATTATTGAGAAATATCTGTATATTTGTGAATTACATTAAGAATTATTATGCAGATATGCATTGGAGAATTTCAAATTTGGTAAAGTTGATATTGGAAGATATCCAGATGCGGCAGCAAAGTATCATGTCAGCGATTCCAGTACAAGCAAGCAATTGCCAACGTTAATATTCTTTAAAGATGGCAAGGAAGTAGAGCGACGTCCATACGCGGATCACAAGGGAAAGCTTGTTAAGTTTCTTTTCTCGCTAGTATGTGTCATTCAAGAATGTAATTTTTAAATTTCGATTTTTATATAATTTAACTAATATAATTTTTTCTTTACTTATTTGTCTCTTTTTCAGGACAATGTAAAGGCTGCATTTGATCTCAATAATATTTATAATGATTGCAAGAAGAATCCTATCAAGAGGAAAGAAAAGAAGTCGCTAAAGGCAGAATAATAAAGCGAAATTTAGGCATTTTGTGAATAAAAAAACGTCCCTCGCAATTCACATCTAAGCGAATTTCAGATAGATGGCTTCTACTGTGTAGAAAATCCACCTAGCACATCTCCGAATCTTGAGAGCTTTTCAAAAATGCAAGGATTTGCAAATATGTTACGTTGCTTTGTTGTAATACTCGAATTTCATTTATGTATGATATGTATCATTGCGGATTGTTATAGTATCGCATCTTATTTAATATGAATGTGCCATATATGTAAACATACAAAACAATTTTACATTATAAGCGTTAATATGTCATTTTCTTTTATAATTGTTATTTGTCAATCGCATTCAAGTAAACAAATTATATGAGATGTAGCAAAGCTTTCTACTTTTCAGATTTTAATTAGCAAACTTTGTTTTATCTCCAATTAAAATAAATTAATTAGTTGATTTCATGTGTTCTTCTTTTTATATATTTAATAAATATAAATATATATCTAATAAACTGATGAGATATTTTGAGAGTCAAATTATTTTCAACAACCCTCTACCTATTCTCAAGAAACTCATATCTTCTAAATTTTATTTGAGAGGGCGTTAGTTAAAGATCCTTATTAAATAACCTCAAAGCCGAAAAACACGTGTTTTAATACAAACGAGCTGATCTTTGCCATAAAAGAAGAGAAGAACAATTTTATATATTTTATTATGGTTAATATTTAAAATTCATACTATTATTAAATCAATTAATTAGTGTACCTGTGATTAATAATAATTTTCCAATAGATGGATAAGAATACTCCGCCGCCTTCGCCTGAGGTAAAGGATGAAGACATGATCCCTGTAGAAGACGTCGATGAAGTTATCGACGAATTCCTGGGGGACGCGAGATATAGTGATGATAATGCGGATTCAGTATCGATGAATGAAAATGACAGCGACAATTCGATGGAGGAGGAGCAAAGAGACGATGCTGTCTACGTCTTTTGTGGTCATTCATTCGGTGAGAAGCTACATCTTCGAGTGAGATAAATCGTCGATGACAGATGGACTCTCACATTAGACTAATTTCATTTCAGCTAATTCGGTGTTCTGCTGCTCGTTGAATAAGAATAGTGAGCTGGCTGCAACAGGAAGCGAAGAGGACAATGCGTACCTGTGGAACACCATCACAGGTGAAATTATTCTCAAATGCACCGGTCATAAGGACAGTGTTATATTCACTGGCTTTAACTACAATGATACGTACCTGGCTACCGGTGATATGGGTGGTACAATAAAATTGTGGCAGTTGAGCGACAAAACTTGTGTTTGGGAGACTGCCTTAGATGATATCATCGTGAGCATTCTTAGATAATAAGGTTTTACACTTCTCCATGTACATCTGTAATAATCCATTAATAATTATTCTTTTAATTGTATTATGTAGTGGATAAAGTGGCATAATTCCGCCAATGTCTTATTAGTAGGCTTAAGCACAGGAGGGGTTCACTTGTTTAAAGTACCAGAAGGTACTTGCAAAGTCTTTGCACAGGGATATGGTGAAAGAGCAGAAATTGGTCTATTTCTTCCTGATGGTATGGAATAATAGAAAATATTACTTTTAGACTTGATTAACAAGCAAGATATCTCATGTTTAAAATTTAAATCTTGTAGGAATACATGCTGTGGTGGGATACGACAGTGGCATAATTCGTGTATTCGATTTAAAAACAAATACTTTACTGTCAACTACCTGTGATTCAAAGCATGGACATTCAAGTGCTATTACTGCCCTCGACTGTCATACAAATAATAATTTGTTGATTTCAACATCACTAAGCAAGACTATATTAAGCACAATGCATAATGGCAAGGTAAAGGAAATTTTTACAAATTTCTCCCAATATACAGATTGCTCCATATTAAATGTGTAAAGAATTTCTAACAGAATAGTTGAATAAATTTCTTTGTATAATAGTTTTAGTTGATTATGATTTAAATTTTCTATACAGGTCAATCTAAGGCTTAAAAATTTAATGTTAAAATGTTTTTCAGATAACTTGTATACTTCAAGATTTTTCTAAAAATAATGAGACTAGTGAAGAGGATAATGCAAATGTTAATATAGAGGCTGCAGCCTTTTGTAAAGATCCTACATTTCCTGTTGCTGCAACTGGAACAATTGAACAGAATTCGACTGGAAAACTTTACATATGGGATATTTTCAAACAAGTATATATATATTATATTCTTTATATATTTACATATATATACTATATTACCTTTTGCTAAAATAAGTTCTAAGTCGAGAATTTTTTCAGGTTCTTAGGTTTGAAATTACACAAGAAGGAGGCATTACAAAGCTTGTTTGGACCAGTACATCAACTTTGTTCACAGCAGGAGTGGATGGTATATTAAGATATTTCGATGCAAGAGCGGGTTGCTATCTCAAATCATTCTCAGGCCATAAAGCAACTATACTTGATTTATATGTATTTCAGTAAGTCATTGATAATTTTATTATTTATTACTATACGACTATTAATTTTACTAGAGATAAATATATAATAGAAATATGGAGATTTATAAAGTATAGAAAAGAAAAATATTAATATTTAAAAAAGTATATATAATAATAAAATATGAAAAAGATTTTAAAAGAAACATATATTGGTTTATATCAGACTAATTAACTACTTGTAAACTTGAATAATTATCATAAAATTTGGGAACTAAATCAATCAATCAAAACACAAGTAATGATAAACTATTTCTATTATTTTGAGATGCGACATTCTTAAGTATTTAAAATTATTCTGATCTTTGCCTTAAAAATCTGTTCTAGAAGTTTGTTTGCAAAAGGTTTTAATATTTCCCATGATATTTAACAATGAATAATATTTTTTAGTGATGAGAAAAAGGTATTGACAGTTTCCGACGACGCAACCGCCAGGATTTTCGATATCTCAACTATAATATGAGATAGACAATTCTAGGAATATATATATATATTTTTCTATTTATATATATTTACAAAAATGATTTATAGAATATGTATATTTGTTCCTTTATAAATAAATTTAATTATTTTTGTCTACTTTCTCGTTTACCTTTATACCATACTGTATTGAGCTCGTATCGTTTATCTTTCCAAGTGAAATGTGTCGGCGCGTTTTCCTGACCATTTTCAAAGTCGAAGAAAGCGCTGAATTCGATAGCTAAATTCGACCTCACCAGGCCGATTCCACCTGTCTTTTCCGGTGCAGGATGATACACTCTTCCTGTATTAACGTTCATGAACAATTTTTGTGGCTCAAATGGCACCTATAATAAATTTTAGTAAAATACAGATAAAATTACAACTTTTATCATTAGATTTATAGAATTATACCATTAACAACTCGTCTGCATGTGCGTAACTGAACCAATCTTCCTCAGCATTAGTTTCTGCATTACATTTCTGGATGACTTTTGTAAAAACCAATGGTAGATCGTCACATCTCACATAGTTCCTTTCCACACCGCAGATAGATAAGAATGGAAAGTCATCCGTGTAACGACCAGTATAATTTATCTTCAGATGTTTAAAGAAGAATGCCAAGAATTTTTTATCTGCAACATAATTTACATACACAAGTAATGGTACATGTCCAATCAATATCAACATACTGTTGCGTACCTTTAAAACAAGATGTAAAATTCCTTATACGAACGTCATCTAGAAATAACTGTAAAGGAAAAAATATAATATTTATAAAATATTAATTCAGCTGTTAATGACAAAAAATTTTGAATTCAAACAAATAGTAAAATGAAAAATACCATGCCTTGGTGATCGATATAATAAAAATACTCCCGCACACGAGGCTGAGGAGATTGCCCTTGAACATATGTTGCATATATCCTCTTAGAAATAGGAAATCTTCGACTTGCGACGAGACCAACACGCATATTAAATATCGATGTCATTTTAATAATTAAATAATAATCAAGGTATAACCTAAGATGTACAAAGTTCTCTCTTTAATATTTTGTTAAAATTTTATAAAATTATATATAGAGAGACAAGGAACATGAATTTTTCTTATAACAATGTAAAGTACAAGTTTTATAATTATTATTTAAAGAGACATTAATTATTTCTCACAGTCCATTGTTCTGTCATGTATATATGTAAATATATATATCTTTTATGAGACAATTTGTAAACATTCTTATCGAACCTTTCTCGCGAACTGTCATTGCAAACTGACAGAAGTTGTCTCTTGTCTGTCGTATCATTTTATTTAATTTAAATTTAAATTAATTAAAATTTAAAAAAATATATAAAAGAAATTAAAAATTATAATAATAATATATGATATTATATACTAGATATACACAGATATATATATGATATATTATTAATTATTAATTGTAGGTAAAAAAAAAAAAAAAAAATTTATTAATTAAATTTAAATTAATTTCTTCTTTTAATTAAAATTTTCCTTTTCTAATTATCTCAATTACTCTCTCTACGTGCAATTTTATCAGCGATTGGTAAACGGGAATCAACGTCATCTGACGAAAAGCTCTGTCACCTATTCGCTCTCCAATGCAAATGCACTGGCATAGAGGAAGAGAGAGAAAAAGATAGTGAGAGATTGAAGAGATGAGATACGACGATAACGAAGAGGAGGAGGTGGCAGTTTCTTGAGCGAGAGAGGCGATCATCATCTCGGGGATCATTTTCCGCGCTCGTGAGCACACGTCACGTCACGTTTTTTTCTCCACACGTTCTCGCTCCCGAGGAGGGGAGCGACGACGCGACGCGACGCCACGCGTCGCGGTGTCCGGTCGCGAAAGGAAGAGGGTAGTACTTGGAGGAGTGCGCGAGAGCAGAGGAAGAGAGCCGCCGCTGCTGATAAACATGTCACGTCCGCGCCAGAGGAGATCGCACGACGCGCGTCAATCCAGGTCCAAGTCCCGAGCTGTCATCGTCGTCGCTGCCAAATAAGTCCACGCGGCACGAAGATGGCCTCGTCCACGAGGAGATCCTGGAAGCTCCGTAAGAACGTCGTCCGCTGGGAAACCGAACGTCCTTGTCCCCGAAAGTCCTCCTACGCGTCGCGAGAAACTCGGCCTCTCCGAGAATAAACGATCTCTCTCTCTCTCTCTCTCTCTGTTTATACGTGTGAGCTGACCTCCTCGCGGTTTCTTTCCAATTATGGTTATAACTGGCTCGACGAGAATTTGTCTCGCAGCGAGGACAGGAAGGTCGTTTCTTTGCGAGGCAGGAGTCCAAGTGCTAAATTATAGCGCTCTTTCGGTCCCTGTGGACAAAATTTGATTTTATAAATGATGGAATAATTTTTATTTAGCGAGAAAATGTGTTGGTTCTGCTTTCTTTTTTAAGAATCGTGTAGAGAATGTTGAACTAAAGATGACTGTGACTAAAAAAAGAATTATTTTTAATTTTTTAATTATGAATTTTAAATAAATAGTCATTATTTATATGATTTGTTTCAATTGACATTTTCTAATTATCATAATTTGCTTATCAATTTATTATATGACAAGAGTATAAGAAGTGTCGATACTGAATTAAAATGGACAGAGAACTTTTATAAAATTGATTTGACAAATAAATAATTATATATCTAAAATAAATAGCTAATAATAAAAAGAACAAAATTATATAATGTTATTTGCATACAAGTTTATACTTAGTCATGAAAATAGAACTGTGTCTTATTTTTGTCACATTTCTGTTGTGTTAACATAAATGAATTAACACATGTATGTATTACTGATCTGAAATATACCCATTCTTTTTTTCTTGCAGAGGAATTTGCTGCCCATACGCCAAATGTCAATTGTCTGGCGTTAGGCCACAAATCTGGTCGTGTCTTGGTAACTGGCGGTGATGACAAGAAGGTAAACCTATGGGCCGTTGGAAAGCAAAATTGTATTATGGTAATTATTACATAATTATTTTGTTATCATCACCAAATTCATTGAAATAGCTTGCTGCTGCATTTTAATGTTAATACATAAAACATTGTACAGCGACATCAATAATGTAATTTTTAATTTTTTTTTTTTTTTTTCAGAGCCTGAGTGGCCATACTACTCCCATAGAATGCGTACGTTTTGGCCAAACGGAAGATCTCGTATGTGCTGGCTCACAGACAGGTGCATTGAAGATTTGGGACCTGGAACATGCCAAATTAGCACGCACACTAACAGGACACAAATCTGGAATACGATGCATGGACTTCCATCCTTACGGGGAACTGCTCGCTTCCGGGAGTTTGGATACAGCAATCAAATTATGGGATATTCGCAGAAAAGGTTGCATCTTTACATACAAGGGCCACAATAGGACTGTGAATAGTTTAAAATTCAGTCCTGACGGACAATGGATCGCCAGTGCTGGGGAGGAAGGAATGGTTAAGGTGAATTAAATTCTGTTCTACATATATATATATATATATATATAAAACCACTCAGGCTCTAACAAAAAAGAAATAAATTATATGTATATATATATATATATATATAATACATAATTATATGCGAAAAAGTTCACACTTACATCAATGTTATTTTTTTTATTAGCTGTGGGACCTAAAGGCTGGTAGACAACTAAGGGAATTTTCGGAACACAGAGGTTCGGCCACAACCGTCGAATTTCATCCACATGAATTCCTATTAGCCAGCGGCAGTGCCGACAGAACGGTTCACTTTTGGGATTTGGAGTCATTTCAACTCGTATCTTCCACAGAACAAAATTCTTCAGCCATACGGTGAGATAGTACGACGATATTCCTACAACTAACAATTTGATCGTCACGCTAATTTTTTTCATCATATTTTAGGTGCCTATACTTTAGTCAAGGCGGGGAATGTCTGTTCGTTGGTGGTCATGACGTTTTAAAGGTTTATGGCTGGGAACCAAGTAGAACATTGGACACAATACCCACTGGTTGGGGAAAGATCCAGGACATAGCCATTGCTCAAAATCAATTGGTACGACAAGTTGCATCAAAATCGTTGTGCAGAGAAAGAGATCGTTTTTATTGAGATGTAAAATTATTTCAGATCGGCGCGAGTTTCCACACCGCGAATGTCACCTTGTACGTGTGCGATCTGAAGAAAATCGCGCCACTGGGAGGAATATCGGCTGTCAATTCGCCGTTTAGTCATGGAAATTCCCTGAGAAAGAGCTTTTCCAGGGAACGACCGATCGGATTAAAGAAGCACACGTAAGTTTTATAAAATCGGATTGTCAACATTATATTCGGTGAATTGAGGTCGCTACAATATACGCATATTGTACATTTTTATTCGTTTACAGATTGGATGTACGAACGATAGAAGAGGCGGACAAATCCGGCACAGATCCAGAGGATGAGGCCACTTACGCGGATATACCCAACGTAACCGACTACAGGAACGTTTTCCAACCGAGCAGGGCGTGTAAGTGTCTCGCTACATCCGTCTTGTAATGTCTCATTGTTCGAGTCTGTGACAAAAATATCCCTCTCCCAGTCTAACGTTTCATTCAATCCTTCGCGCTCCACTAGAGAATATACCACACGACTAATAAACACACTAAATACACAGAGTGTCATACACACACACACACACATACAGACGTACATCAAGTACGTCTAAATGTGAATGCAGTGTTGCATAGTTTGTGAATGAGCATGCCACGCATGATATGTTTCAGTGTCTCGCACACCACCTCCCGAATCCTCCGAGGCTTTCCAGGAGCCTCTTGATATAGGTGAGTTGTGTGCAATAACCTTCGCATGGATTATTACTAAACTACGACATAAATTCTGACGAAATAAATAAGTTTCGACAACGCGAATTTTTGTATGAATATTGCGAAATTGTTGATTAAAAGTTTAAGAAAAATTATCCAGTTTTCCAGAATATGTGCCTTATAGATTTGTTGTTTGAAGAATTTGTGATATTATTTTGCTTCTGTAAGTCTTTGAATTTATTTAAAAAAAAAGTAAGCAAGCATCGACATGGTTGGTTTATTTTAGATCCGACGCAGCCGCAGATACTACAAAATCTCTCTACCTCAATGTCGAACCTGAACACAATGGAGCGCGAGGAAGTTCCGCCGGTGTCGTTACCATCGTCGCCGCCTCCTCCGGCGCCCACGTTATCCTTGATGAAGCCGGTGCCGGTGCCGGTGCGCGTTCAACCGATCAAGTCGTCGCCGCCGATTCAGAGGAATCCGATCACGTCGACGAGCCAGATCAGGGCGAATCTGCAGGCGAACAATAGCCTTAATCAACGAGCCTCCAAGAACTTCGCGTCTATACCGCCATTGAGGCAGAACATCACGCCGCTTCCAGGCAAAAGGATGAACACCACCGATCAAGCGGTGTCAGCGTCACCTCAACCCTTAGGACCGCAAAGGTCGAACTCAACCCTAACGCCGCGCGTCGCGCCGATGGCCGCGGTGATTCCCGTGATGGACGATGGCAAGCTGAAGAATAGAGTACCTAGCCCGGACTCTCCGAAGCATTACCTGAAAAGGCAGAGCAGCAGGGACGGAGAGCAGCAGGGATACGAAAGCGATTATCCTGTACAGTAAGTATCTCTTCGATGACACAAAAAATTATTTTAGAAACATGGAAGTATATAAAATATATATATATATATAAGTTTTTGCATAAAAATTAGTGAACCTTTTTAATAAAATAAAATTTGTAAGGCTTATCTTCTGAATGATTTCTCTCGCAGAATTAATAGCATAAACATAAGGCACAGTCCATCCGATCCCGCGCTGAACAGGCCGAACACCGCGCAATCGAGGTCGACGTCGCTCAATCGAAACTTCGCTACCTCAACCGCGCTGTCGGCGCGCAATGCCTCCACGACAACATCGATGTTTATGAAGAAGCTACCTAATAAGGCGCAAATTCCGCCAAATCCAAGGTCGACGTGCGCGTCTCGCAGATAAGAAACAACGTCGAAGATACAGAAAAGGAGGAACTAGTGCCGATGAGCGCCGACAAGCCTTATGGTTTGGATGTGGAAAATTTCCTACCCGTAAGTTCTCTCCTAAAAAAAAATATATATATATATTTTAATCCTTTCATAAAAGTAAATAATATATCAAATATTATAATACAACATAAGAGAAAGATCCACCTTAAAATTGAAAAAAAATTTAATTTAATTTTAATATAAATATATAGTAGAACAATTATTAAATTGTTCAAATACTCTCATTTTATAAATAATTAGTGATATTGCTTTCGATTGATTAACATCAGAAAATTGACTACATATTATTAATTAACTATAATATATATTTTTTAAATGTTATCTTTGCAAAAGTTATGTTGAGAGATATTTGTAGATTCTTATGTGAAATATTTGTGTTTTACAGCACAGTTACTCTGGTTCCACATCGTTAGATTATTCTCAGATGGGCGTGCTGACGGAAATGTCGGAAGCCGAGGTATTGAACAGTATGATGCGCAGTCATGACTCGATGATGGTAGTACTTAAAAGTCGGCATCGCTCGTTACAAATCATACATTCCCTCTGGCAGAACAAAGATCTCAAGGTAGTCATTTATCATTTATCTGATTTCCGCGTTGGGAAGAGATACATAATTGCGTGAGAAAAATATAACGTTATGTGTGATTTGTTCATTCCAGGCCGCGGTGGAATCTGCAGTCGCGATGAATGACCTGGCAATCATCGTGGATCTCTTGAGCATTCTCACATTAAAACCGTACGTTAAGCTTTATATTCATCCATTTCAATTTAACGAGGCACTTTTTGCATTGTCATGCGTGTATTTTTTTGTTCTACAGAGCGATGTGGAACTTGGATCTGTGCAATTGCCTACTGGGTCCCATTAGCGATCTCCTTCAAAGTAAATACGAAATGTGAGTACGAAATTATAGTTTATCTCGCGTCTCTTTTTTTATCTAAATATTGTATCACCATATTTCCATTTGTTTTCAAAGATCCCGCTTCTATACATATGTATGTACATGTCAGATAATTCGCATTCATATTTCATTGCCGCGCATCACGTGTATATTTAGAGATGACACGGTTGAATATTCATCGTTTTTCGCTTTGCACGTCGCATTATCGTCTGAGATTACTTCATCTTCAACGCATATCATCCACGCGCGGCGTTATTGTATTGGAAAATCGAGACACCCCTTCCGAAAGGGGTTGCTTCATCCCCGAACGGAGTACCGACCGCGCGGTGTATGGGAATGGCTAATTTGCCAGAAGCGGGGGAAATCCGAGGCGAGCGTTAGGGCGAAATTAGCCGAGACAATGGGAGGATAGCGGCAGATGCAAATTCGGCCGGGCGCGAGGATCCTTCCTGTCGCGCGCTCCGAGTCGTATTGTTCGCCGAGGCGAATTGAAATCTCGAGTGTCGCACGCTCGCATATGTCGCCGATGACAGACACGGACAGCCGAGTGTCATCTTCAAACGATTCGTCACGCGAATGTAAACCTGTCGAGAGTATGCAGAGAGAATCTTCTCTTCGAATTTACCCTGAAAATCATGGTAGTTTTTTTAATATTTACCACAATAAAAAATATTATCTACCATAATAAAATATAAAAAATATGTATATAGTAAAATTAGTCGAATATATTTTTTATATCTTATTATGATAGATATTAATATTGTTTTATTGTCGTAAATATTAATCAGAGAAACTCTTATAAAATTCTTTCTTGAAAATCATGGTACTCTTGGAACAATATGGTATTGGTAGAATGGTATTTATAAAAGTTCTCTGATTTTAATATTTATCACAATAAAAAATATTAATATCTACCACAATAAGATATAAAAATATGTATATAATACAATTAATCGAATATATATTTTATATCTTATTAATATTTTTTATTGTGGTAAAGGTAAATATTAATCAGAGAAACTCTTATAAAATTTTTCCAATATCATATTGTCCCACGATTACTGTGATTTTCAGGGTAAATTCTAAAAGAAAATTCTCTCTGTGTGCAAATGTATCCGTTGCACTTGGATAATGATTTAGGAAAAATCGAGAGAAAATAAAAGTTTCAAGAGATCATAAAAATCATAAAAATTTAGAAAATTCTTTGCAAATTTTTGGAAATTACTCAAACTAATAAAAGTAATTCAATTGCACTAACTTCCTGCTTGAGATGAGTATATTTATATTAAGCAATGTTTAAAAATAAATGTTTTTCATTCTAAATAAAGTATTAAATTACCGTTATCTTATAATTGTGCGCAACTTCCTGGGCGTTCAGCTATAAATCCGAGAGAGGAGGAGGGAACTTGTCTTTTATGTTCGTTTGACGTATGAAAGTGGGCGATTAACCGACTGCCCTCAGTTCCAAGCTGTTGCTCTGTCGTGACGCGAGGAACGACTGTTTCCTTCTATGTTTTATTGTAGACTATCATTATTCACCCCCGGTCTATATTCTTCGTCCACGTGTTGCCTCGCAAGAATCGTCACGCTATGCTCGCCATAATTATCAAAATATAGTTCAATAACAATCCGTGTGAATTTTAAAAATCGTATATAATTATAATTTTTCTTTCATTTCTACCAAAATATTATATATAGATGTTATAAAAAAATATGCAATTACTACCTAAAAAGAAGATTATTTGATTAAAATACAATTCAAATTGTATAAACGTTATTTTAATCAAATATATAATATTTAAGACTATTGTGCCATTTATTTATATATTGCAACATATTTGTAAATTGAACTCTTTCGTTTTATATTGTATAATTAATTTACAGTAATATTTATCGTGAGCTTTTCAATCAAAATTTGAGTATTGCTGTCCTGTGTTCTAATCAGTATATTTTTTATATTCTTTTCAATCTCTCTCTCCATTTGATCAGATCGAGAGAACACTTTGATATTAATTTAACGATTAATTAATCGCGCAGCAGGTCGGTTGTACAACTTCCGACGAGCTCGTGAAGGTTGCCCTCTCAAAAATTAGGCTTCATCAAGTATCACAGACACCTAATGACTTAACGAGCTTCCCGTTTCTTCTTTTTCTTTCTTCCCAGAACCTTTTTTCTCTCTCTCTCGAGTATTTAGTACCTTGCATGTGTAGTAGCGAAGTCTATAATACGTATGCATTTACAAGCTGATCCAACTGGATAAAGAATCATTATCCTTCATTTATCTATAACGACGCTACATATCTGTCCTTACTCGTTTTTTTCCATAATTTTAATTAATTTAATTAATTAAACTTTTTAGAATTAAAAATTTATAGGCATCTTTAAATGATGCAGTTTCTTAATTTTTCTATATAATTCTATTAATATCTATCTTTTCTTTTGGCAAATTATTAAATAATTAAAAAAAAAATAAAAATCTCACAAAATAAAATGTGGTAATAAAAAATGATGGTAGTAGGAAACATCGTTTTAATTAGACGCTATTACGCTGATTGGTCTGGTGTAATTTCAGTGAACCGGTTAATAAGCAGTTACATATATTAGCCCCGCGCGTATATGCTTAATAATGTGAAAAGTGAATTTAAACTAATTACTCACTGCTAAGCAGCTGTCGTTCGCAGTCACTCTGTAATAGCGATACCACGTCGAGCCTGACATTTCATTCGATGTATATAATTTTCTGTTCTTAACTCCGTGATCCACCTAAAACAAAATAGAAATAATTAATTAAGTATAAATTATAATATATTTATTATTAATTATATTAATTAATTATTATTCTGCCATATTTATAACACCATTGAACACGAAAACAATTAATTCTCCGTTTAATTATCATCTAGAAATAATTGACATCAAATTTGCATCTCTTCAGTTTATCTTCGAGATAAATTCAGGCACGCATTTAGCATGTTTGCGTATCAGATTTGCGCTTTTGCCAAGTAGTACCCATTGTACTTTGATTTCGCAATCGTGAACGGGAGCAAAATCGAGACGACGGGCAAATATACACATCTCGGATGGCGGTATTATTATATAGTGGCAGTTTGCATATAGCTCGCTCGTCGCTTTCACGCCTCGTTCGTCACGGCCTTTCGTCCTGGACCTGGTGCCTCGTGAGAAAAAAAAAAGAGATCGTCGGCCCAGAATGTCCAGACGCGTGTCACGAGGGAGGGTTCGCGTCCCGCCCGATCGTTTTCCAATTTCGCGGTCCCCTTTTACCTATTTATCTCCATAGATTTTTTTTTGTTATCAAATTTCATTACAAAATGTTCACAATTAAATATGACGGAGAAAATAAATAGAAAATGTATTTATTACGGTTAATAATTCATGATAATTAATTGTAGAGTAAAATATATGTAATAAATATTGATGTATTATATATAATAATCAAATATCAGGGATAATAGAATAAACGGTGGTAAAGCTATTATAATTTAATGATTAAATTTTAATCGAAAGTTACGACAGACAATATCTAGTATGTATATAAATATTGCTCCAAAACTTTATTGTTATTCTAATTCGAATAAGAAAAAAATTATTACATTCAAATATGTTAAATATATATCAACATATATAAAACATATATTAAAATAAAAATATATTGCAGTTGTTCTTTTTTATTCTAGTTAAAATTTCCACGAGATCGTATCAATTTTCCCTATTTTTGTTACAAGCCGCGTAAAAATCGGCCGATGCGTTTTCCACCAGGGGGATAGTAGTAGGTAACACGTCGACGTTGCATTCATGAGCGCGTTCGCGATTCGTCTCGCCGGGATTCGAACGGGAGCACGAACCCTTTCTCGCGTCCGAGAGCGAGAGCGTGCTGAATCGCATGCCTTTCGTTATTTATTGGCGTCGAAGGTTAGCGTATAATAATAACGCCCGTTTTATCAAGCGAACGAGGCGTGACCGGACCGGTGGGTGTTGCGAGACTTCTATTCCGTGACTACTTCTATCATCATTCCGCGAGACTGTTCCCATCCTACCCTCTTCGAACGTTCTGCTCCCGGATAAATGAGCAGTCGTATAAAAATCGAATAATAAATCAAAAAGGACGTATAAATACTCTATACTTATTTTGACATCAAGAAAAATTTCAAACCAATTTTATCGCACCTCGTATCTATGTCTAGCTAGTTTATCAGCCCTTTTAATCTGACGGTATGACATAATCTCTCTCTATTTCTAATCTATATTTCTAATTTATATTATTATTTACTAATTTTTTCCTAAATTTCTGTTTCAGGTATATAACGGTAGCTTGTTCGGCATTAAGACTTATTCTTCGCAACTTCGCACCGGTGATCAAATCCAACGTGGAAGCGCCTCTTCACACGATCGGCGTCGACGTATCGCGAGAGGAGCGGTAAGTTCTCTAGTCGACGATGATCGCTCATTTACCTGGAACATTTTCATTCCAAGCTTTACTTCATCGAAGAACCATTTCCCTCTCTGACCTCCCCAGGTACCACAAGTGCCTCTCTTGCTACGAGAAGCTCTCGGCGATACGGGCGATTCTGTTGAAGAAGCAGCCGACGTCCGGGAAACTCGGCGCCTCGTTCCGCGAGCTGGCTGTGCTCATTAGGAATCTGGAGTGACCGACGCTGCGTCGTCTGAGACCCTCGTGAATTCGACCGCCAAATATCCTCGTCGGTTTCTCACCCCGATGACGAGGGTCGCCAGGAACGCCGAGGAGCAGCAACGAAGCCTGTCGTCGCCTCGCATCGAGGAAGACGCGTCTGTAAAAATTCATCCTTGCTGCTTGATCGATCGCCTCCTCCTCGTCATTATCATCCTCGCGGCTGTCCCGATTCTCTGGAAAAAAAAGCGAACAAAATTGCGAGATTTATTCTTTACTCATTTACCAAACGGCCTGACGAGTCGTGAAGTTATTGATGAAAAAGAGAGAGAGAGAGGGAAAGTATTGTTGATGAAGATAAGAAAAGAAAGAAATTTGTTTGAAGAAAAGCGAAGTTATAAAATGAAAGGCGGGTGAAAGCGAGGAAAAGCACTATCGCCAAATGTGTTTAATGCTATACTGAAGCATCAGGAAGCGATCTTATTGGTTTTATTCGATATATCAATTTTTCTGGATATTTTTAAAAAATTGTTCCCTTTTATAACTTATTCAAATCTAATTTAAATTAAAAATTATTGTTTTAAGAAACTTTAATTCAATAAATACCCATTATTTATATTTTTAATACAATAAATAAAAGAATATAATATAATGTATATCGGTTTAAAGCATAATTTAATTTTTACTCCCGACTGCTGTCAATCATGCAGGTTGACGAAAACGAGGGAGCGTGCATTTTTTAATCAACTAATCAAAGAAAAAAAAAATCAAATATTTTTTGTATCGAAAATACTCTTTTCTCTCTATGTGTGTAGATATCATTTATTATAAATAAAAGGATAGCAAGAAAATGGATCTTTTGAGATCCCGATGCGTTAGTATATCAATTTCAAAGTATTCGTATGAAGAATTGATGATCGAGAATCATTTTGAATGATGAAAAATATCCGCGCAGCACAAAATAAAAGTGAAACGATTCGCGCGGATATATTTTTTGCGTGGCCGATATATTTTGCGCCCCTCTTGCCACAAAATCACACATGATCATCGAACGTACATATATGTATATACGATTGAAATCAGCCTTAATCAGGGAGGCGATGATACGCGACGACGATCACTTTGACGAGCGATTAACGAAAGCGATGATTAATCTAAGTAGTTAGATAACGTTGTAACATAATATCTTTCTTAGCGTACGAGAGAAACTGTATTTTTGCAAGAGGTATATATGCGTCCGTTCATTAATAAAATATTCTAATCGTTAGGCGTATGATACCTTGATTCCTGAAGATGAATAATAATCTAAATAAGAGAGCCTAAGTGTGTAAAGAACTTGTCTAAAGGTGTAAGGGGGGATTTAAAATTGGACGGGGAGAGCGTGTCGAACGATTCGCATTTTTATACTCGTTTAAATTATTTTTTTACTAAAGTCTATCCGTGATTTATGAACATTTTACACTAGGCGTTGTTTGCATAGAAATTGTCGTCGATGACGTATTGTATATCGCCGTCACACGCACTGATGATTTTAAACGGATATTAGGAAACATTTTTTATACTCAAAGTATTATTAATCGTCGAACGAATGAATGAATCAGTCGTTTAAATGCGAGGGGATAAAATGAAGACAGCCTAGTGAGAATATATTTTTTGTGATTTATTTCATTTTTTTTGTGCGTTTCGTGTTTTGTCGCAAAATGAGTTAAAAGGTGATGATAGAATGACAAGTTCTAAACTATTTAAATATGTTAACAACAATTTCTTATCACGCTTTACAACTTTATAACTTTGTAACGGATATCAAATCATCAGTATTATGCCAAACAGTATTTTTATATACTGAAATATTTTTTATGCTCAATTTATTTCTGTGCATTTAACGCTAAACATTCTCGTTATGTCCAGAGTTTGTTTAAAATAACTAGAAAATAAGACGGATAAAAATTAGTACGAATCACTACCTTTTATCTCATCGCGACAAAATATTCTCATTTTCATATTAGGATTTATATTTAATTGTTTTTGAAATTGCGTTCCAGTGATAATGTCTATTTGATAGGAAATGTGCGATAATTTAAGATTTGGCTACACCGATAAATGGCAGAACTATCAATAATGTTTAAAAACCACCGACGAAGAACATTCCAAGATGAAATTCTGAAATATTTTCTAATATCGATTTAATATCATTTAAATATTATTTAATAGATATACGAAAACTTTTTGGCATATCATGAAATCATACAGATCAACGAAGAAAATATATATATATAATACATAATGAAAAATTAACTAAACGCTGCTTGGAGTATTCTTCATTTATCGTCTATAATAATTGATATTTTATTACTGAATTTTTATCGAAGAGAGAATATGTTGTATTATTTAAATTACATAATGAAAAATTAACTAAACGCTGCTTGGAGTATTCTTCATTTATCGTCTAATAATTGATATTTTATTACTGAATTTTTATCGAAGAGAGAATATGTTGTATTATTTAAATTAATGTGTATTAAATTATAATTAAGAGTTTATATTATGTCTTCTGCGATCGTTCGGCTTTCCCTTCCAATTTAACGGGGATTATATAATATGATATAACGCAATCCTCTGATTGCTGCTACAAGGGAGGATTATTTATCGTTATTAAATAGTGCAATAAACTTGTGATCGTACGATCATCCTCTATTCGTTCTTGAGAGAAAAGAGTGCATTGCACAAACGAAAAGGGCGTCTAAGAGAGATAATATAATTTTTAACACATTGCCTCGAAGTATTATGCAATAAAGCGTACAAGTCTTTCGTTATAATTTTACCATTTCACTGTTCTCTTTTTTTTTATTCCGCGAGATGTTTTACCACATACCCTCACAACAATATTTTCTGTTCCGATCCTTCGCGTTAAAAACATAAACTTTCATTATAAACTCATGAAAATAGAGATCACTGTAGAAAGAAACAGAACTGATTTTATTTAACTTTAGATTAAAGAAACGCGAAAAATAATCAACAGAATGTGACAAAATTTTTATTTCTTTTTATATGGCGAAATGTAAATGTGTGATGAAATCGCACAATCAGTTTTCCATTTTTATATGTGCAAATTATTATTATACAAGTTTTTTCGATACGATTTTTTCGCGTTCTTCTCAGTCCAGATTCTAAGTTATTTTACATATAGGCCTAAAAGCCGCCTATATTCTTAGCAAAGATAGATTTTTGCGAATTACATTGCAGTTCGTCGAGTATGTTCGTGAAATGATGACGAAGAGATGCGTTCGCTCAAATTTCGCCTTGAAAAGGAGGGAAAAAAGGGAAGAAAATTACGAGGATACTCGTCTGTTCCGTCCAATGTATTTTATAAGAGAGAGAAAGAGAGAGTGTGCGTGTGTCCTTTGAATGCTTCTGTAATTTATCACTTTGATCGGTATAAGGAAACTGATCCTAATTTAAGCTTACGCTCATACGTTGTGTGATATCGATTCTGATTCACGAATACGTAGCGAAAATTTATATTTATCGCTAATAATTTCGAACGCGAGATATTTCGCGTTCCGAAGGTATTTTACATATATATATATATATATATATATATATATATGTTGCTTTTGTTGGATGATAAATTTTATTATTGTTTTATTTCACACACGTCTTAGTCCTTACTGCGTTATCCTTGTTTTATTTTAACATTTTGACTTTTATTTGTAATCGATTATTATGTTATTTCAACAGAATAAGCAATAATAAACTCGTGCGATTTTATTTATCTGTGTTGTTTTTATATATTTCCTATAATTTTAAATCGACAAATATTACTATATTATTTAGTTTGGAATATATTATCAAAAATTCTGCAATATTAATATAATTAATTGGGTGAATTTATCGTATGGTATTCGCAAAGTATGAGCGTCATTAAAGATATACATTGTTACAATAATATAAAGATATACCTCTGTCTACTCTAGTAAGAGCCGGCACTAATTAGTAGTAGCCTAATTTTGGGAATCGATTTTAAGCGAGAGAGACGAGCACTTTTGATATCGACATTGTAAATACGTATATTCCATTCCCGAAAATTCTATTTTATATTTCATATATCTATCCGTATATTGCAATTTTATTGCGATAAACTCACGTTATCTCTTCGGCAAAGCCTTAGGGATTTTCCTTCATATCGTAAACTAATTAACGACTCTAATATCTATATTCTAATTGATATTAATATAGATCAATTTTTCCTCGAGGAGGATCGAAGGAGACAAAAATACAACTGTAAATATTCTGTAAATTCGAGCACGCAAAGAAAAGGGAATTCGAGATCTCTCACTTTGCTTCATATTTGCTGTACATTTGCTATTTTAATTTTGAAATAACAATTCGCTTCGATATTCACAACTGTTTAGAATATATGACGTAATGCATGATAAGAGAGATTCTATGTTCACTGAAAAAAAAATTATTGAATTCGAATAAATATTTTTATTTTAATACTGCTTTATAAATCATTTATTTGAAATTAATATTGATTTGATGTGAAAAAATATTTGTTTGATATAAGAAAATTCTTTCCAAAACAGATAAATATTTATTTGTCTCAAATATATGATTTAAATAAAGCAGTATTGAAATAAATATTTATTAATATAATAATTTCTTTTCTCAGTGTTGTGTAATTATGATCCGATCTAGATTTCATGCAAAACATGATTCTTCAACAACTTCACAATTGCCTTAACAATAATCCATAACTTTGTTTCTGTGCCGACCTGCATGTAATTAATGTTTAATTAACTTTAGTAATTAAGCCCGTCGTTATCTCTCTTATGTGTTCGTAGTCGTTCGAATAGATTAATAATAATATTCTTTGACAAGAAAAAAATTCAACTATTTTATTCTCTCCCTAATTAATTTTTACAATTCTTTAACGAAAGAATATAAGTATAGATCGTCTCTGCTTTGTCATGAAAAATTTGCAAGTTATCTATCGACCGAATTTTTTTCTGGAGCGATCATTCAACCTCATCCATCAACGTCAGTTTCATTTTTATCGCATTCGTTTAGCCCATAAAAAAGGGCCGTGTACCGGCTATCTGTATTTGCATCGGTGATCTGCACTGACGTTTAACAGCTGATTCCTGTCAATCAACTCTTTTTTTTTTGCGCCACGCAAAAATGATAAATAAAAGGTGTAAAATGTACTTCAAATATAATTTTGTTTAAAGATAAATTCACACATTTTTTTTAAAGATTACGTGGGAACAAGAGAAGATTTATCCGCAATGACATTTAACAGCTGATTTCTGTCAATCAATTATTTTTCTTTTTTGCATCATGCAAAAACGACAGACAAAAGATGTGAAATGTACTTCGAATATAACTGTGTTTAAAGACAGATTCGTACATTTTTCTTCAAGATTACGTGGGAACAAGAGAGGATTTATCCGCAATGACATTTAACAGCTGATTTCTGTCAATTAATTTTTTTGCGTCACGCAAAAACAATAAATAAAAGGTGTGAAATGTACTTCAAATGTAACTGTGTTTTAAGACAGATTCATACATCTTTCTTAGAGATAACGTGGGAACAAGAGAGGAT